CAAAATTGTCATCAGTGACAAATTACAGTTTTTGTTATAAGCTACTGAAATCCTTGCTTCTGATTGGTTATCAGCAGATTTGTCACTGATTTGTGTCATTTGTCATTGAAAAAGGGCTTTGTGAAACGGGTCCCTGATTGGTGTTGGTTCATCAATCAGTCGAATGCAATTTCATTTTTCCATCTGTTCAAGCCTCCTTCAGACCAGCCACTTTCCTCTGTATAAGCTTTATGGAATTTGTATAGCTAATAGTGCTTTACAGTATGTGATTAATATTTTTTGTGGTCTGAACATGTTCCTTCCGTGAGAAATGATTTGCAAAACACAAATTAAACATTTGCTTAATGAGTGTGCATAAAGGTCTGTTGACCTATCAATCCATTCATAGTGCCAGTGGTTGCATGCTTGTCTGACATGTGAAAATCACATTGATCGCCTTAAAGGCTAGTTCACATTGATAAATTAGGACTTTAGAAATAAATGCTCGATGTAACAGGCCCGTAACTAGAATTTTACTGGGGTGCAGACATTACATTAAGTGGACCTTATTGAGGGAGTGAAGCAGGGAAAAAATTAATATATATTTTTGGGGGGCTACTTTTCAACCTTGCCTGCATGAAAATAACATTCTAAAATTTGTTTTGCATCGAACTCTATGCAAATTTAAGGGGGCTCTTTTCTGATTTCCGGGGCTATTTTGCCCTGAGCACCTGTGTATTTGTTTCCCTGGAGTGAAGCAACTCAGCATGGGCAGGGGGGGGGGGGGGGGGGGGAGGTGGGGGGTTCTCAATTTTCTATGTGAAAATCAGGTTTTTGGTTACAGGGGCATCAGAGCATATTTCAAGGAGGGGGGCACCAACAAAATGGTCTCTTTGGAGGAAAAGGGGGCAACTACACATGTACACATGGTAACACATAATATGTTTAACCACACAAAGCGGAAAAATTCAACTTTAAGATATCATTTTATATACTGGTACATAAAATGATATACCCCTACATTCTAATTAAGGCATTGTCATGGATCATCTTCTAAATTGTATTGTTTCTCTCTTTAATAATAATGATAATATTAGATATTTATATATTGCACATATCCACCCTGCGAGGTATCTGCTTCTGCATCATACTTTCTACTTGTTTGCATTGTTCTGAATATCTATTTGTGAGCAAGTTGGCAATTGTGTGAAAGACCTTGTTAGCGCTTCTCCTATGTTTCTTTCTGCATAAGAAAAAGTCTTAAATTTTCTTTTTTTTTCTTCAATCTTACAAGATTACATCTTATGTTTATTTTTACTCCAGATAGGCCCATATTTTAATATATCCCCTCTATCAGCAACCAAAGAAATGGAAATTCTAGCCCATACCAGGCGCGGATCCAGGATTTCTTAGGGGGGGGCAAATTTGATTAGTGTGCTGAAATTTGAAAATCGTGCCGGCCAATATTTCGCTCAGTGTGTGTGTGTGTGGGGGGGGGGGGGGGGTAGTGAGCACTTACACATTTTTTTCCCAGGGGGTGGGGGGACTGGGCTTCCCACTCCCCCCCCCCCCCCCTGAACCCGCCACTGCCCATACATAGTTGCAAATTTGTGTTGGATCACTAACAACCTAAAAAACTTAATAGCTTTTTCATCCTTTATCAGATTTTCAGATCATTGGAAGAAGTCAGGTGTGAATATGACAGTTACTTAAGGCCATGTTATTATCATTATTGTAATACAGTACATTAACATATACCTGTTTTATAAAGTTTTGACTGTATCTTTATTTCTACAAACCAGTCTGCAAATGTGAAGACTTACACCACCACACCCAGCCAGCCACTCCATCCTTCAGTACTCAATGCACTAGAATGCAGCCACATAAGGCGCGTTTTCATCATCTGGAGATTGCCAAATAGCCCGCTATTTCTGATTTTGGAAACATTCCCGAAGTTACAAATCGCGTGTTCATCAGCTCAAGATTTGACCTCGAAACTTGAAACTCGACCTTAAGAAATTAGGATCAAGATATTTTGCCCCGCGTTCGCGCATAGTGCGAGTCTTCGGTTTGGTGAAGACGCACCGGACAAATAGCTGGATATTTTGCAAACTATCCCAAGATTTCTTGGGATGACAATCCCGACCAAATGTCCCACTAATTGCAACTTCGGGCTGATGAAGACGCAAATTAGCTGGATAGTTTGTGATTGGGATAGTTCAAATATCAGGATATTTGGCAATCTCGAGCTAGTGAGGACAGGCCTATAAACAACCTTTGGCATACTGCTATACTTCCTTGTGGCTACTATGTCAAGTAGCCAGTGCTCATGTTTAGGATGTTGCCATGGTTTCAACGATCAGGTCATCCGTGTTCAAGGAAGTGGGTGTGACATGACAGAAACAAAGAGAATGGTCTAGCTGTCTAAGATTGATAACCAGGATAAATAGGTTATATTGCAAGAAGGATCCGGACATGAGCATTATGGTGTATCCTATCATTTTATTACTATTGCACACTTTATGTTTTGAACTAAAAGGTACCGGTACTTAAGTTTGTTTAGTCTATCCTGTCGATCATGTTTGCACTAAATAAATCAAATTTTGTCTTCAATATCAGTAGTTGAATCATGCATAAAAATATACATGTATATATCAAAATGATTTGTTCAGATTACCATAATCATTAGGCAATAGGCAGTTGAATAAAAACTTAATAAAAACATTTGCTTTGTTATTCTAAAATAGTACTGTATATTTTAAGAAATTGTATATCCAAGGCAGCAATTGTGCTTGAATCTTACTCTTTATTGCGCCCACTTTGAAATACATGTAGGCATATGCACTACTGTTGAATGAGTTCAGTATACTATTTGAGGCTACTGGCAGCATTTTGATGAATGCATGCATTTCCCATCCAATCAAAAAATGAAATCAAAATCCCTTTGTAGAGAAAATTGCCTCAGGAAAGCGAGTTAAATTGCCCAATATTCAAGCACTTCCATAAAATAGAACAATTCTCGGGATGCCTTAAGGCAATTTTCCCCCTGTTATAGTACCCATCCTTTTCTTTTGATCTGGGCCTCTTTAGTCAAAAGGATTTTTTGTTGTACATGCAATTGTAAGAATTGTATCATGCCTATTTGGTGGGTGTGTTCCTATATATTCCAAGCTATATCTGATATTATGTTGCGTCTCTGTTGTTCCCAACACAAAGAGACAGGCTTCCAAGTCAATCATTGTAACTACCGGTATTTGTTCCTGTGTTCAGGCATTGCCTACTACTACAGAGTGATGTTGTTGCAAAGTTGATACACAAATGATATAACAACTCCATGTAATCTCAGATTATAGACTTTCTTTTCCAACTTCTAGTGGACATCAAAGTGGCTATATATCAAAGACCACATGATTTAGATATTAAAGGTAAAGACCAGTTTTGGAAACGCCCCCCTCTCAAAAAATGAAATGGAAGCTCTTATTACCAATCATGTGAAAGAATATGTTTCGACTAATACGTGATCATACTAATTTTGCCGAGAAAGTGAGAAACCGCCTACAAATTGGTATATTTGATAAATTATTATATCTATTTGAACCTGATAGATATAACGCACGTGTCGTACACGTGTCGTGTTGTCCCATATACATCTTTCTGTGTACAATGCTTGTAACTTTACCAAGACTGGGCCTAATTTCTTATCATTTTGATGATTACAGAACCATCTAGTACACACCAATAGTTATATGCTAGATGATCAACTTTTTCTGATCGATTCCACAACGTTTCTTTCACAATGCAATCGCATGACCATAACTGATCTTTACCTTTAAAATGGTATCTTATTTTCATTTTGTTCATTTCATGTCTCATTGGCCACCAATTACAAGCGTAATGGATGGTAGCCACGTAGTGTTTTTCATGGAAGTACTTACTGATATGTATCTAGAGGAACCAGTCCAGGGCAGTATTGTATATGTCACCACATTGCTTTGAGAAAAAAAGTTGTCTTAGGCCATTACAAAAAAAATACATTAATTTTGTTTTTTAACTATTTTTTTTTAATTAAAGAAGAAAAAAAATTAAAGAAAAAAACATGAAAAACACTGCTAAAATAAATCTATTTCTGATTTTTTTTTTGGGGGGGGGCCATCTTAAATATTAGCCCGACTGTCAGGGGAAATGTACCGAGCTGCAATTTTGAGGGGCCATTTTGAAAGAAAACAAAAAAAGGGGCCTCCTTCCTATTTTTCAAAGAGGCAGGACACTAAACATGTTTTTTTTTTTGTTTTTTTTTTGGGGGGGGCCTTATTTCTCTTGAACAGTCGGTATATACAAGTGTGAGGGCAGTACAGCAATAATTTGGCAACAATTGCTGTAGGGATTATTTTCCACACTAAAACAGAATTCCTTTATTCAACCAAACCATGTTGCAGAAGGAAGTGTGGAATAAACTCTATACCCATGGACCTACTACGAATCCTAACCCCCAAACTTGTAGAGGTGTCGTGGATGAGTGGATATGTCACCGGACTGTGGATCACAAAGTCCGCGGTTCAAGTCCCACTGCGGCACTAATGTCCTCTGGCAAGACATTGATCTACATTTGCCACTCTCGATCCACCCGGTGTTAAATGGGTACGGGGTAGGATGCGAATGCTAATGTGCTTAGATTAGCAAATGTGCGCTTGTAAAAATGACGCCTGGCTATATGGAATACCCCCCAGGGAGTGGAGAATGTGCATACATTGTGTGCGGGTAAGCCTGAATCCGATGACCGGTGTAATAATATAATTGCAGGGCCCTCAGGGAGAACAGTATGAATACTGATGAGGCTATACCTGAGGAAAACAAGACATATTATAACTCTGTATCTTTGACTAAATTTTACAGGAGAAAACGCCACAGGAGCAAGTGTTGCATCACTGACGCGACTATAGATGTACATGGTAATATTTTATCAACTTATGTACAAAACTTACGTTTTTGGTTATCACTTTTGTTTTTTTATTTCTGCACAGAAAGCTGCAAAGTATCCTACGGATATAGAGATAGAAGCAAGGAAATGGGTAGAGGAGGTCTTGCGCGAACCCTTGCAGGACCAGGAGGTCGGCTCTCATCACTTTGCAGAGTCACTCAAGTCTGGTGTAGTGTTGTGCAAGTGAGTATGAACAGGGAAACTTAAAGGGAAGGTTGAGTTCTGGGAAGAGGTGAAAAATAATTTGTGAGCGTTATCATTGTTATAATGCAATTGTGGAAGAACATCAGATAAAGAATGTTCCCTGACAAGTATGGCTCTTCAAATGCCTTCATATTCTAAATATGGCATGTAACATCGTAAAAAAATGGACAGATTTTTAGGTCACGTGTTCGTGTAGTCCCATATACATGTACTACATCCTTCTGTGTACAGTGCTTGTTACTTTACCAATACTTGACCAAATTTCTTATCACTTTGATGATTCCAGAACCTTCCAATACACAAGAATACTTATGTGCTAGATGATCAACCTTTTCTGATCGAGTCCACAGCGTTTCTTTCACAATGCAATCGCATGACCAGAACTCAACTTTATCTTTAAGCAAGGGCAGATCCAGAATTTCGTAAAAGCTGGGGCATAATATTCAAAAACAGTTTCTTGAGAATGTGATGTATTAATGCTTATGTCTAAAAGTCTAAAAGTATGTATCAAAAGCCCTAATTCAACCAATCCACATTTCATTCTTGAGTTACAAAAAAAACAAAAAAACATGAAAGTATTTACCAACATAACGTGATAGATTGGGGGTAGAAATAGGTTGCCCATATTTTCAATCCCTTAGTCAAGTGGGCTCAAGTTTATTGTGCAAGTAACGGTAGTTGTTTTCAAAAAAAATTACCAGTCGGTATAAAAAAAAATGTTAGTCAGTCTGGTGCAAAACTAAGAAGTTACAATTGTTTTTCTAAGTATCCTTATGAAGTGCACTACCAGTTCCCTGAGTAAAACTTATTTTTGTTATATGGAAATTGACAAATAAGGAAAATACTTCTCCGCGAAATCAAGTATTTGAGGAAGACTTTACAACGGGATGACTACTATACAGTTTCCACGTCAGGATGTGAGGATGATAGGCTAGAAATTACATTCCTGATGAAAGATAATTAATCTGTTTGCTTTCTTCCTTCTCTCATTTTTGTAATCTCTGCTCCTTCCCTCTATTTCTCTCCCTCTTGTTTTCTTTCTTCCCCCCTCTCCTCTTCCATTTCACTTTCCTTTCTCCCCCTGTCTATTCCTGCCCCCTATTCTCTCTCTCTCTCTCTCTCTCTCTCTCTCTCTCTCTCTGTCTCTCCCCTCTCTCCCTCTCTCTCTCCCCTGTCTATTCCTGCTCCTTCCCTCTATTTCTCTCCCTCTCTTTTTCTTTCTTCCCCCTCTCCTCTTCCATTTCACTTCCCTTTCTCCTCCTGTCTATTCATGCCCCCCCCCTTCTCTCCCTTTCTCTCTCTCTCTCTCTCTCTCTCTCCCCCCCCCCTCTCTCTCTCTCTCTCTCTCTCTCTCTCTCCTCTCCTCTCCTCTCTTCTCTCCTCTCCTCTCTCTCTCTCCCCCTCTCCCCCTCTCTCTCTCTCTCCCCCTCTCTCTCTGTATTTTTTTTCTCCCTTTGTTACAGATTGATCAACACTCTCAGTGAACATTGTCAGATGCCTAAAATCAAGAAGATCAACGAAACAAAAATGGCATTCAAACAGGTACTGGACCTCTTTTTTTCATAAGACATATTATCAATAACAATACCGGTAATTAAAAAAATCTACTGGTACTGAAATCATGAAATGCGATTGGCAGAGAGCTCATTTCTTATAGAAAAATGACATTTTTTTTTTCATAGACTAATTTTGTTAAAGGTAAAGACCAGTATTAGAAACGCCCCAATTTCAAAAAATGAAATGGAAGCTCTTATTACCAATCACGTGAAAGAATATGTTTTGAATAATACATGATGATAAAAATGTTGACGGGAAACCGCCTACTAATTGATATATTTGGTAAATTAGTGTATCTCTTGCCTGTTGAGAGATCCAAATGCATGTGTCGCGCATGTGTGTGTAGTCCCATATACATCTTTCTGTGTACAGTGATTCTAACTTTATGAAGACTTGGCCAAATTTCTTATCGTTTTGATGATTCCAGAACCTTGCAGTACATCTATGCTAGATGATCAACCTTTTCTGATCGATTTCACAATGTTTCTTTCACGATGCAATCGCATGACCATAACTGGTGTTTAGCTTTAAACAGGCCCCTGATGTATTTTCCTCACTGGAAATGTAATTGAAAAGAAGTTTCAGTATTTTGTCTGTTCTAAAAGGGGCTAGGAGTCAAAGTAAGCCTAATGTTGCTTTTGTAAGAAGATTATCACGAGAGCAAACATGGAGTGAAGTGTGTTGTTATACCTTTTGCAAATTTACCTTTTGTTTACATCAGTCAGTAAACTGTGCTGTAGAGTAAGACGATTTGCAGCAGATTGGCTGTGCTGAGCCAGTCTAGCATGACGTTTCACTCATCGTTTGTGTTGTGTTCATACAGAGTTATTTGTGTTCAACCAAGTTATTTGTGTTCACATAGAGCTGTTTGTGTTCACACAGAGTTATTTGTGTTCACACAGTGTTGTTTGTGTTCACACAGAGTTGTGTGTGATCACACAGAGTTGTGTGTGATCACACAGAGTTGTGTGTGTTCACACAGAGCTGTTTGTGTTCACACAGAGTTGTTTGTGTTCACACAGAGTTATTTGTGTTTACACAGAGCTGTTTGAGTTCACACAGAGTTATTTGTGTCCACACAGATTTATTTGTGTTCACACAGAGTTGTTTGTGTTCACACAGAGTTGTTTGTGTTCACACAGAGTTGTTTGTGTTCACACAGAGCTGTTTGTGTTCACACAGAGCTGTTTGAGTTCACACAGAGTTGTTTGTGTCCACACAGATTTATTTGTGTCCACACAGATTTGTTTGTGTTCACACAGAGTTGTGTGTGTTCACACAGAGTTGTGTGTGTTCACACAGAGTTGTTTGTGTTAACACAGAGTTATTTGTGCCTGCCAGCCTTTTATATCTAGAGTGGACATTGACATACACAGTGAAACCTCGGGAGGTTGTGGCACATTTGGGCTAGATATAAATGGGATGTATGACGTACACTTTGTATTTCTGAGCAGTTTGAGTTAAAATCACAAAAGAGGTTTAGATTTAACTCAAGGTGTAACCATGGTATAGACCACTCCTTCAAATAAAATATGTGTAAATAAGCGTGCAGAAGCCTATATATTGTTCATTTATTGGACATAAGGGCATGCATGTATAGAGGTTTAAACCTTTGGTTAAAGGCCAAGTCCACTCCAAAATAAATTGCTTTTAAAGCTAAAGACCAGTTATGGTCATGCGATTGCATTGTGAAAGAAACGTTGTGGAATTGATCAGAAAAGGTTGATCATCTAGCATAGGTTCTGGAATCACCAAAATGATAAGAAATTTGGCCCAGTCTTCATAAAGTTACAAGCACTGTACACAGAAAGATGTATATTGGACTACGCACACGTGAGCGACATGTGCGTTTTTATCTCTCACATCCCAATAGATAAACTTATTTACCAAATATATCAATTAGTAGGCGGTTTCCCGGCAAAATTTTTATCATCATGTATTATTCAAAACATATTCTTTCACATGATTGGTAATAAGAGCTTCCATTTCATTTTTTGAAATTGGGGCGTTTCCAAAACTTGTCTTTACCTCTAATAGATGCCCAGAAACAAGAGAAACAAAAGCCAAAAAAAATGATTAAAATCGGATTAATAATAAGGAAGTTATGAATTTTTGAAAAAGTATGGAACAATGGAAATCACTAATCAAATTGCCAATTTGGTTATCAGTTTGTGACGTCATTGCCTCACTATTTATCACTTGCTTTACATATTTTTATCCCATTAATTGCCCTTTTTATCCCCAAAAACTTCATTTTGCCGAGGTTGTAGGATTTGTATCATATTGCATGCATGACATTTTACAAAACCTTTTATGAACCTTGAAAAATTGATACTAATTTTTTAATATTGAATATTCATAATCATTTATTTTTATATAAATAGTTTATCAAAATTCACATTTTTCATGATTTAAATGAAAAAAAATTACTCTAGATTAGTGTGTCCACACAAAAACATATTACTATCAATATAACTTGGATGCTGGTGCGAGGAAATAAGATTCTTAGTGGTAAAATTGCAAATTTATATTATCAATATAAAGAAAACAATTAGTAGAGAGTTAGGCAATGATGTCACAGACTCATGAGTTGCCTATTTGTCTTGTGACTTTCAAAGTTTTTCATGTCATTAAAAATTCATTACTTTTTTTCTTCCAATTTTGCTCAAACTTTTTTTCATTGGTTTGTCTGATATATTTGGAGCGGCCTTTCCCTTTAAGAATTAAGATTAACCAGTTTTCTTGAATTTGGTCCTATATATATCAACTTTAATGACTGCTATATCCATGGGCGTAGATCTGTAATTGATACGTATTGTTCAGGGGGGATGATCTATTCATTCATCCCCCCTGAACAATAGGTATTATGTAAGGATTGACGCCCATGGCTATATCATTCTAGCTTGGGTAACATGTTTTCCGACAGCCTTCATGAAGGCAAAAAGGAAAATTGCAGAGAAGAAGTGATTTATTTCATGACTCATTTCTTCTTTTATTCTACAGATGGAGAATATTAGTAATTTCCTAACGTTTGCAGGCGATTTTGGTGTACCAAAGGAATCTCTCTTCCAGACGGTGGATCTCTATGAGGAACGAGATGTGGGGATGGTATGTATTCAGCTGAAAATCAATATCCTTGGCTGGGGTAGATCAAGAGATCTGTAAATGGGGGGGGGGGGGAATTGTAAATATTACCCTTAACAAGAAGTGTAAAGGTACCGGTATTCCATTTTGGATGTGCCACTGTACTTTTTTTTGTTTTTTTGAAAAGAAAATATTAAAAATGTTATCACAATTTTCGAGTGCTTTGGAGGTCGGTAATCTTAAAGGGGGGGGGGTGCAAAAATATAATTGGAGTAGGTACATTTCCGTGTTTGTGTGTACTGGGAGTATACTGGTGTGACACCCCCCCCCCCTCCCCCCCCCCCTGATATTTACTCTTGGTCCAGACAAAAAATAGGGCATTGTAGCACAATCCAAATAATTTTGTTTTTATCTCCTTCAGAAAATTATTCTTGCTCATACTATTATATTTGAGAAAAAATTAACTATATTAAAAAATGTAGCAATATCAACCCTGCCCATATGAAGGGGGAAAAGGTGATTTTCCTGTTGAAAACGTTTGTCTCTAAAAAAAAAAAAAAAAATCATGTTTTTTCTATTGTAGTTATTTTATTTTATTTTTTTTTGTTTTTGTTTTTGTTGTGTGTTTGTGTTATCAGGTTGTGATGTGTCTCCTTCGGCTGGGTGGCGTAGCTACAAAGAAGGGCTATCCCATCAAGTGGGGTATCGCCGTCGCGGACCCCAACAAGCGTACATTCACCGAAGAGCAACTGGCTGCAGGCAACAACATCATCGGCCTTCAGGCTGGCTCGAACAAGGGCGCATCCCAAAAAGGATTAAGCTTTGGAACACAAAGAAAAATGTGAAACTCCCCAGATAAATATGCACGCATACATGTACACCTTGGCACGCCGGTGTTACCCGTGAGAAATATATAATGTCTGCTGACAGCTAAAAGGGCATTTAATCAGTGCTAATGTATGAGGCCCGAATTCACGAAAGTGGTTTATCTTAGCCCATAGTGTATATCTCCATTTTAATTAAAGCAGACTAGTACATGCATGTCCTTGTGTCCAGTGAACAGGCAATATACAGTCAAACCTGCTTTAGTGACCACCTGTCTACAAAGGCCACATTTGTTGTTTCCCTTAAAAATGGTTTCTCATTGAATCATGTACTAAAGGAACCTGTCTACAAAGACCACCTGTCTACAAAGGCCACTTTTTGTGTTTCCCTTGGGTGGTCGCTATAGACAGGTTTGACTGTATATGCTTCTTTACCTGCTTCTGTATGTATCCTCACTGTATGTTTCTTTACACAACAGTAGCTCAGTTCAGGTGGGGGTATTTCAGTTCAAGGGGAGGGGTTTTTAACCATAGTAAAGCCATTGGGTTAAATTTGAACCTTGTTTTGTGAATTCAACCCTATGACTTATGTCCTTCTGGCTCTCAGCAGACATCATGTACTAGTTTGAGCTAGAAACATAAAGCCGGATCTTAATTTTGGCCCATCAAAAAATGTTGGTTAAACTGAATATTCTCTGGTGCTACATAAAAGTGAGCAGTTCTTCCATATCATCATTAAGTTTATTTGTTCTTTGCAACTAGCATCATGTTTCTACAAATTAGTGATTAACTTGAGCGCAAATCACAATCAAATACAGCTTTCATATCGTCAGCCACATCAGCCAACTTCCAACAAGTAAAGGGTACAAGAAAACCTTCATTCTGACTTGCTTCTGATAAGAGGGCTGTTATTGGTTATTAATGGCATCCAATGAAATTGCATTTATCTGTCTAAAAGGCTTGTTCTCCAAATGCTATTGTGACTGTAATATTGAGAGTATATTGAAGATGAAATTAAATAAGATGACTTGATACACGGGAAGCTGGTAATCATGGAGTTTTGAAATTAGTGTCAAGTCTGACAGACATGAGCGCTATACAAGAACCCACCATTATTATTATTATTATTATGAAAAAATGACTGGCATGTGTGGCCCAATATGTATCATACATCTCCTTATTTAGTAAGTTTTATAGAAAGAAATTGTACTTGTTTTTCATAGAATAAATGAACTTCTTTTATGTGCCATTACATTCGAAATCTTTCTACCATAAAATCTTCTTCTGACATTTCCAAGGCATACACATTCCCACAATATTGGCACCATTCCTTCCTTTTCTGTACAAAATGTGAGATTTCAAGCCAATTGTACAGTTGTAAATAAACGTGAGGACTTACTTGAAGCAGACAATGGCTGTGTAGTTTGTTTTTCATAATTTCCACCTTAAATATGATAAGCTATGGCACACAGGTTGCTATGACGATGCATGCTGACTTGTTTATTGAAACATTATACGTGTAGTATAGATTTTAATAGTATAGTGTGGATTTTGTTTTCTCATTCTTACACGACTCAGTTTTTATACATATTTGTATTTGTAGTTTTGTACGTCATTTCTGTGTGGTCTGCGTATTTTGTCATTATGAGGTATTTTGATGTTTACCTTTTTCTTATTAAAATGAAGATCTTTCTTCCAAAGCTAAATGCATATTACAAACTCGTAGTTTCACTGCAGTTGATTTTTCAAAGACATTTTAGAGGCTGTTGGAGAAAAAATATAGGGCGAAAATAAGTTTTAAATTGATATGTGCAGTATTACTCATACATAAAAATCTATGTAATTGTATCTTGACAAAAGTGACAAAAGTCAACCAATCTTTGAAAGAGTTCTAAAATGTTTAACATTTTGGAATGAGAATTTTGTGGAGTAAATACAGAATGTTTTGTCTTCCTTCCATTTGTGTATTTGTTTGCGATAGATATATATTTATGCTGATTTATTTGTATTTAGATGCTATTTAGTAAAGTTGGTGAATAAAACATAGGCATGGATTTGTCAAAAGTACAGAAATCAGTCTGTGTCAGTGAAGTTATATGTCATCTCTCTCTCTCTCTCTCTCTCTCTCTCTCTTTATCTCTCTCTCTCTCTCTCTCTTTATCTCTCTCTCTCTCTCTCTCTCTCTAACTCTCTCTCTCTCTCTGTCTATCTCTCACCTCTCTCTTTCTCTCTCTCTCTCCATCTATATCTCTCTCTTTCTCCATATGTCTCTGTATATCTCTCTCTTTCTCCATGTCTCTTTCTCTATCAGTCTCTCTCTCTATCAGTCTCTCTCCATCTCTCTCTCCATCTCTCTCTCCATCTCTCTCTCTCTCTCTCTCTCTCTCTCTCTCTCTCTCTTTTGTATTTGTCATACATTAAGTTAAGGTGAATATGAAATTGGTTCAAGGTACTGTCTAACTTATTTGAGGCTAATGATATTACCTCCGTTATTTTGGAAATCTTGTTAAATCAGGGCTTCAAAAAATAGAATACAAAGAGATGGAACTAGCCAAATTACCTTGTAATTACATAAGTAGAGTTTGTTATGACCCATGCACCAAGGTGTTCTTTTCAGGGGGAGTAAAGACTATTCGTGGATTCTCTTGTCATTTTTATTTTGGTTCAAGAACATACTGAAAGAGAGAGAGAGAGAGCAAAGAAACGGACAAGGAGCAAGGGGAGAGAGAGAGAGAGAGAGAGAAAGAAAGAGCGAGAGTAGGGGGTATGGAGAATAGCAAGATTACAGAAATCAGTCTGTGTCAGTGTAGCTGTAGGAAGAAAACAGAAGAGAGATAGAGAGAGAGCTGGCACTGACAGACCAAAATGTAATGAAAAATTAAAGAAAAAAAACACCAATGAAACAAATAGAGATACCAAATCATCAACGTTTTCATGTTTTTAAATGCGCGCAGTGTAAGAAATGGAGCGCCAGGGGGGGGGGGGGGGGGATCTCCAAAAAAAGGTAAAATCAAAGTTTAAAAATGTAAAATACACCTTTTTTTCCCCATGTGACAGTGGCCATAGAATCTCCCCCCCCCCCCCCCCCCCCCCCCTCCCTCCGCTGACATAAACGCCCCGCAGTCATGAAGCATTCTGCCAAGTTGGAGAGCAAGGACGTGTTTATTTACAGACGAGCCGTGAAGAGAGCGGTCTGGCGCCCTCTTTGACATTAAACCATACAACATTTTTCTCCAATTATCTTTTTTGTAAATAGATTTATCGATGGTTTACTTTTTCTTCGATATTATTTTCAGGTTATGGGATGGTGATGGGAAAATGAATAATGTTTGATAACATTTTCCAACAGTATATCGAATATATCATTAGTAACTGTATGCTCCCTCGGGTATAATGCAGGCAGCAGGCTAATGTAAACAAATATTTAACAACTGGGGTGCCGCAAGAGAATTTTAGCATTACAACAAATGTTGTTATTACTTTAGAATAACGTCAATTCCGTCAAAACCAAATATTAGAAATTGCTAGAGTACACAGTGGTGGATCCAGGAATTTCTTACCGGGGAGGGCACAAAACTGCATGGGGCGAAATATATGAAAAACGATGGAGCGAAGCGACAGAGCGAGGCGCCAGCGGCGAGGCAGCGGAGGTCAGAAACTCTTTTTTTTTTAGTAGGAAGCATTTAGAATTTTGAGAACCACATTTAGCACATTAATGTCCACCGGCATTTCCTGGAAAAAACGAGGCTTTCTGATTGGTTAGAAGTTAGAGAAAAGTGATCTGTCACGTCGCGGGACGTTGTATATGCTTCGTTACTGCACAATGCACAAAGACGGTAGTCTGGTACTTCACCAGTTGTACTTGCAAAAATTATCTCGAGTGTGTAAACTGTGTTGTTATCAGAGGCGTCGCTGGACCTTTTTCAGTGGGGCGGGGGGGGGGGGGGGGGTAGAGGCCACCGATTACCGACAAAACTAGCCGTCAATTACCAACAAACATATTAATGCCAATGTCCCAATGTCTAGTTAAAGTTACTTTTCAGTTTCCCCCTCCTCCGCGAAGCGCGAAAGCTTCGACACTTCATTAAATTATTAGAGAAAGAAGACGATTCGTTGTACCGTTCCCGACACGTGATCCTTGTTTCGCCCTTCCTGCGCGAAGCGCAGAAGTTTTGACGTCTCATTTAATTATTAGAGAAAGAAGACGATTCGTTTTACCGTTCTCGACTTTTAATCTTTGTCTGATTTCATTTTCGCTTAACCGCGTGGAGCGCAAAAGTTTTCACGTTTCATTAAATTATTAGAGAAAGAAGACGATTCATTGTATCGTGTCCTTGTCTGAATTCAGTTACCCCCCCCCCTCCCGCGCAAGGCGCGAAAGCTTTGACGTTTTATTTGGTTATTAGAGAAAGAAGACGATTCGTTGTACCGTTCCCGACACGTGATTCTTGTTTCGCCCTTCCCGCGCAAAGCGCAGAAGCTTTGACGTCTCTTTTAATTATTAGAGAAAGAAGGCGATTCGTTTTACCGTTCTCGACTTTTAATCTTTGTCTGATTTCATTTTCGCTTAACCGCGCGGAGCGCAAAAGTTTTCACGTTTCATTAAATTATTAGAGAAAGAAGACGATTCGTTGTATCGTGTCCTTGTCTGAATTCAGTTATCCCCCCCCCCCCTCCCGCGCAAGGCGCGAAAGCTTTGACGTTTTATTTGGTTATTAGAGAAGACGATTTGTTGTACTGTTTTCGACTCTTAATCCTTGTCTGAATTCAGTTTTTCCCCCATCCCGCGCGGAGCGGAAGCTTTGACGTTTCATTAAATTATTACTCTTGGTCCCTATCTGAATTCATTTTCGCCCAACCGCGCACCGGGGGGGGGGGGGGGGGGGGGGGGTAAGCGGACACTTTTTTTTTTTTTTTTAGTCCAAAAAAAAATCGCAACGACTGAGCAAGCCGAAAAGTCGCTCAGTGGGGGGGGGGGGGGGGGGGGGGGGGGGGGGGGGGGGTAGTGAGCACTTCTTTTTGGGGGGGGTCCTCGAAAACTTTAAAATCTGCACCCCCCCCCCCCCCCTGGATCCGCCACTGGGCCCCCCCCCCCCTCTTCCCGCCGTATTAAAAGTGTGATTATTTTTTGCCCGGTCGTAAAATTTATTCATTTGTTCATGGCCCTTGACGAGTGTCAGAGTGATGCAAAATTAATCTTCTGTAAATAAATTTGGAATTTTATTTCTTAAAAGGGTACCTTGACTATAATTTTTTTTTTTAATGAACGCTAGCGCTGTTATACCCGATCAATTGCAAGTTTACAAGTACCATCATCATCATCATCATCTAAATTGCAAATATAAGTTGCGAATTAATCGAAACTGTTTATAATATAACTTTAAGTCACCCCGTAAGTCACAGAACCGAAATCTCCCTTACATACCGACTATGTGAACACACTGCTAAACAATCACTTACAAATGAAGAAAGAAACAAAACGATTTATCAATTTGAAAAATATTTGAACGGTCTGTGAACACCGAGAACGCCGATCGGAGATCTTCCCGACACGCGACGTACGGACGTGGGACGTATACGTTTTCAGCCTCATAGCAACTGAGAGACAGGTGCATAGCAACAATACATCAATACGCGCTTTGCTTTGGCTTTGGAGCACTTCCTACATACACGGTAAGCTGAAGAATTTCTACATTATGTTAGTTGAAATTGTATAATAAAATACTGACATTTGAGAAAGTATTACTTTTTCTACCAGTAAGAATAATGCGTTCTTTGAGTATGATGTGTTGTATGACACAATTGCGTGTGGAATGTGACGTGTTCGAGCGAGTTCTTTTGATGCTCAGTCCCATATGCGATCTTTTGTGTTTGTTGATAATGATAGGGTGTCTGATCGCGCTCTCGATTTTGTGTGCTAAAATCCTATGGCTATGCAGTCTATGTGCATTGCGCGATCATGCATGTGTCTCTCTTTCCTATTCTATTGCATAGTTAATAGCTAGAAAGAAATATGTTGAAAAGTTGCTTCTCAAACTAAAAGTCAAATGCATAATCTGTTTAATCAGTGATGAAAAAAAGAGTGAACAGACTTGACTGAAAATGTGGCAACTTTCCTGATGATCATGAAGCATACATTTTCATGAATAATGCAGGCTTACAATGAAACAAGTGAATGTGGTTTCATTTGACATAAGAAGTTGTTGCTGTGACATGCAATATCATTTTACTATTTACAGAAACACAACATAAGGAGAAAGAAAGAAAGGTACAAACATGTCGATAGCACTCTCACAGCCCCGCCATGTATTTGGCATGAAGGGGGATGTCTCTGGCAACATCAGCTATGTTGACGAACAGACAGTGGTCTACCCTTGTGGTAGCAACATCATTCTCTACAACATCGACCAAAAGACCCAGCGATTCATACCAGGATCGGACAAGAGCTCTGGATTCTCTGCCACATGCGTCAGCCCCAACAGAAGGTATATCGCGGTTGCAGAAAGAGGGTCAGACAAGGCACTTATTACCATCTATGATCTCCACTCCCTGAGGAAAAGAAAGGCCCTGAGCTCCACTGACATCCAGTCCAATGAGGTAGTCAGCATGGCCTTCTCTCCAGACTCCAAGTATCTGATTGCCCAGGGGGGCAGGCCAGAGTGGACCTTGGTCTATTGGACCTGGGAAAAGTCCAAAGTGATGGCTGTGACAAAGACTACAAATCCGGCTAATAATGACATCTACCAGGTATACAAAATGAGAATCATTTTTAATGGTTCACAAGATCAATTGCACTTTGCGATGAACAGTTAATGTTGTGTAATGCTATAGTTTTCATTTATTACTTACATTACAGATGAAGCAGATGTACTTTGTTGTTTTGGATTTTGATGCAATCATTTGAATATTTTACTTGGTCTCTCTAATGATGAAGACGTTTTTTTTCTCCCTCTTTTGAACACTCTTTATCATGCAACATTGCAAGGATGGAATTTTAGAACCTAAAGTTATGAAAAAAGACATTTGCTGGAATAATCAGCTGTTATAAGAACAGGACAGGTACTAAACATCTTGGTTACAAAATAAATTTGTTGGATGACCATTCTTCAATTTCATTCTTATTTTGTTAATGTATTGATGCATACTCTTTATTTAAGATAGCTTGTTCAATATATGTTAATATTTGCAGGGCGTTGGGTCATTGGTACTGTATGTGATATCTTGCTGAAATTTGTGGTATTTTTTTTCCTTATCTAGGTGTCATTCAACCCCCAAGATAACACCCAGATCTGCGTCGTTGGTAATGGCATCTTCAAGCTCTACCGCTACAGTGAGGGGAACCTCAAACAGTTTGCTTTCCAGAAGCTTGAACCTCAGAACTACCTCTCCCAAGCATGGGTCTCGGATGAGAGGGTGATCGTAGGCACAGACATGGGCAAGCTCCTGCTGTTTGAGGCTGGAGAGCTTAGGAATGAGATGACGGTCCAAGTTAGCTCCAAGCAAGATGCCGATAAGTAAGTAACCGATATTATCTTCAAGGCATCGTCTAACAATATTAAATCTGAGATGAACGGCCCTACATGTTATCAGTGTCTGTGATATGGTGTAATGTTGAAGCCCTAAAAAATTGCGCTTCAAAATGATCAAGAAGTGCCCCCAAAAAAGTAAAAATCTTTGAGTGACCGGTTTTACCATACTCGTTTTCCCCAATAGACTGTAGTGTTTTGAAAACCGTTCGGCAAACGCAAAATTGGTTTGATTTCCAATCATAAATATCTTGATAATCAGACAGGCGATCGGCTTGTAAAAGTCATGGGGTTCCTGACTGACCTAAAGGTTTATAATTATCATTGCAGCATGAGCTAAATCCAGGATTTTGTTTCAGAATCTGAGACAAAGTTACCAGATCCCTTTAAAGAGATTTTTTTTTCTTCCAGAAACGGAACTGATTCCATATTGTGCAAGACAATTAGAAAGTAGGAAAGGTGGGGTGGGGGGTATTGAATTTTTTTTTGCTTGAGGTCCGTCCAATACACAAAAATACTTCTGCCAGATATATTATGTATGTTGTACACTACAAGTCTTAAATGGGAGTAGGATTACAATCATAATTTTCTATTGTTAAAAGATGTATTCCTATTGTTTGCTGACTGAGTTCTGGGATCATTGATGAACTGGAAACTCAATTCTTTCATATCATAGATCTGCAATGGGCACCATTACTGAGAATGAGGGGACCGGAGCTGCCGGCACACCTCGGATCACTGCTATCGTCTCATCATCTAAAGGATTCGCGTGCTCAGCTGGTCATGGGGTTGTAGTCGTCTATGAGAAAACAGAGGACAAGGATTCGTACAAGAAATCCAGAGAGATACGGGTAATTAATAAAGAAATATTTTTGTTCAACTGGAATCTGCTGTATAGAATCAATCGCTTGATAAGGTTTCTTTTAATAAAAGGGCAATTTGTTAACCGCCATTACAGATATGTGCAATGTATGAATTCTAGTTACAGAGTTAAGATTGATGGGGATTTTACACTAAACTTTGTGAGATCATTTTTGTAGTCCATCATTATTTATGTAGAAAAAGTTCTCTTAATCTTAAAGTTTTGGCTATCAGAAAAAAAAATTGAATTCTTTGTCGTACAATGTCATGTTGCTTATGAACATAGTCCTGATAAAAGGGAAGATGTTATGAGAATCGAGAATACAAGGTGTATTATGATCAAATCAGCAATCCTTCTCTTTAAATCTTCACAATTATACTAATGAGTTTGTCTATTTTTATAGAAAGGCATATGGAAAAAGCCTAGGATAACATAATCATCATCTTTCTCCCTTTCTTTCAGATTGTCAACAATGCTCTAGGAGCAGATGACAGCAGAGCGGAGAGCCATGAGATAAGAACTCTGACTATCAGCCCATCCGAGGAAACCTTAATCGCCAGCACACTTACAAATCAGCTCTATGCCATCACGCTGTCCAGTGCAGAGATTGGCAAGGTAAATATATTTGAGCAAGTGTATAGTCCAAGGTAATTTTTCCCATAGGTTACCAACTTCATCAATTCAATCCAAAAGATATTTGATATAGCGCCTTTTCCTCGCAGTTACAAAGCGCCGCACACACGCTCCACAATGTTTGGGCCACTTAAAAACAAAAGTTAGACACTTCTCAGAGAACATGTATCTGTATATTAAAGGTAGATAGCCTCTATAGCTAGTCGCTCGTACTGTCATTGTTTATATGTTCCTCATTCTAAGATAATTGGTATTTTCAAATACCTAGGACATGCTCATTTTCAAATATATTATTTATTTATATAATTGCTGCTCTGACTATCTATAGATAGTCAGAGCAGCAATTATGGGGACTGATCTTTCATGTCATCATCCAAAAGACATGACTCTGGGTTCAAAGCTAGGTTGGTTGGTTGTATAAGTAGACCAACTAGATATCCCAAATACACCTGGATCAATTATTTTCATGAAAGTTACCTAGACCAACTACATTCCATTGTAAAAAAAAAATAAAAAAAAAAATAATAATACCGGTAATGGGGACTTGTATACGGTCAGTCAGATTGACCCTCCTGGCACTCCTGATTATTACCCTGGCTTTAGCACGGCTGTCATATGGCGCTCTAGCATTTCAAGGAATAAATTCCTACCAGGTGTCCATTTACTTCACCTGGGTGGAGTGTGGCAAATGAAGATCAATGTCTTGCCAAAGGACATTAGTGCAGCGGCGGGACTCGGTGCATTTAAATTAATTTATTGAAATTTATGTTTAAAAAAAGATAATTGTCAATCAGAACTAAAAGAGATCACCAATTTATACATCAGTTACACCAAAGAGATTGACACCAGACTGCTTCCAAACCAAAAAAAATTGCATTACTTCCAATTGCCAGAAATCAGTCAGTTTAGAGTTGGCGTTATGACTCAGGTATTCATGTGATTAATAATAATATTCCACTTTTATAAAGCGCCCAATACATCGATACAACAATGTTTATAAGCACTTTACAGATATATTATAACCCGGTCATCAGATTCAGGCTTACCCGCACAATGTATGTACATTCTCCACTCACTGGGGAGCATTCCGGCCAGTATGATTCCATACGCTTTGATACATTCTGCTTGGTTTCGAGCAAGATATATTTCAAGATTGTTCAAAATGTTCTGTTTTCTTCTCGTTCTTGTGCAGGGAGACCAAGCAACATTTGAAGTTCTATCCCAGCCGTTCCATTTTGATATAATCACCGGCCTTGATGTGTGTATCAGAAAGCCTCTCGTAGCAACTTGCTCCACAGACAGATCTGTGCGTGTTTGGAACTATGAAACATGGTAGGTCATCTTAATATTTAAAGCCACACTGTCCTACTTGTAGCTACTTGCTCCCTCTATATAGAAAACAATGCCTAATTGGAGACCATTGGTCCCCCATGATCCTCTTTTTCTTATGTTGATTGAGAGCTGAGTTGATGAGAACCACCTGTAATTGACCACGCAGGGCGGTCTAATCCCTCCTACAAACTAGTACAGATAAGCTTTTAGAAACAAAATATTGCTCCACCACTTTTACTTTGTCTTTTATCTAATGGCCAGACACTCTTTATATTAGTACTGTGGCTTTAGCTTGATAGCAACTTGTAGCGTTCATAGAATTTATGAATTCTAAATATGAGATAGCAATTCTTTGCTTTAACACGTAATTGCTAAATTCCACAGGGTGCGATTATAGACTCGTAATAGGAAGTCAAACATTGATTTGTTTATTGCAGTCTAGAAACTGAATTTGTTGATATGATTGCAGAAAAAATGAGGTCAGCTAGACATGCATTATGTAATTTCTTCAGTGATCAAGTCTCTACCTCTTCTTGGAGTTTCTGTACAGGCAGGCATTTTAAAAATGATTATTCATTTCCCCCTTTAGTTCACTGGAGCTATACAAAGAGTTTCAGGAGGAGGCCTACAGCATCGCTCTTCATCCATCTGGTCTCTACATCCTGGTGGGTTTCAGTGATAAGCTTCGTCTGATGAATCTACTCATCGATGACATCAAGAAGTTCAAGGAATTCCCCATCAGAGGATGCAGAGAGGTAGGTTTATATCATCTCTTAAGATCCAGAAGGGGCGCTAAAGGTAAAGACCAGTTCTGGTCATGCGATCGCATTGTGAAAGAAACGTTGCGAAATCGATCAGAAAAAGGTTGATCATCTAGCATATAGGTATCGGTGTGTACTGCAAGGTTGTGGAATCATCAAAATGATAAGAAATTTGGCCCAGTCTTGGTAAAGTTACAAGCACTGTACCCAAAAAGATGTATACGGGACTACGTACGCCACACTTGCGCAATATCTATCCGGTCCGGATATTTACCAAATATATCAATTAGTAGGCGGTTTCCCGGCAAAATTTGTATCATCACGTATTAGTCAAAACATATTCTTTCACAAGATTGGTAATAAGAGCTTCCATTTCATTTTATGAGAGGGGGCGTTTCCAAAACTGGTCTTTACCTTTAACTTGTATTCTTTCAGAAACCTTCTGTGAATGCCTTTCTGTCTCTGAACAGACAATTATATCTTTCACATCTTTATGGTGGATTCATAATCCGCAGCGCCATCTAGCAACACCGGTGATATTTGATTTCTCGTGATGTAATTCTTTAAGGTATCAGAAACTGCAAAACATCTTAAACTATCACAAGTTTTAAATCAGAGCCTTGGTTATAGAAAAGATACCCAATACAGTATTCAAAGGAAAGGTAGTGAAGTGAACACAAATTTAAATGATTAAAGCTTCAGTTTTGCACACAGACTGTACAACAACACTTTAACTGTTTTATTGGCATGTTTGATTATTATGAATCATAAGTGAAATTCTTCTGTATTTTGTTTTATTTCAAATTTCCAGTGCTCCTTCAGCAATGGTGGTCATCTGTTTGCCGCTGTGCATGGCAATGTCATCCAGATCTACTCATCAACAACATTTGAGAATGTCTCCAATCTCAAAGGCCACAATGGAAAGGTAAAGAAAAGAAATCTCATCATTTTATTTTGTAAAAAGTGATTTGCAAAAGTGGCATTGCAGTGCTGATTGAAAACAGATACTAGCAAGTATTACAATAGTGCACTGTTATGGAGAACATTGTTAATAACAAACTCTTGTAGAGGTGCTGTGGTCTATTGGATTTCTACAGACTGTAGATCACAAGGTACAGGGTTCAAGTCCAGCCTATAGGCACTATAATGTCCTTTGGCAAGACTCAAATCTACATTTGCCACTCTCCACCTAGGTTTGAAATGGATACGGGTAGGAAGGAATTCTTTAATGCCGTGAGCACTGAAATTGGTAGCCTAGCAGAGCTGGGGTAATATTTGAGCGTTTTGAGCACCTAGCGTAGTTGATATCTGCACTATAGCTGATGATGTTTGGAGTTGTTGTTGTTGTTGTTATTACAATAATGTTATTTTGCTTTCCCCAAGTTATTTTGTATTCTATTAATTTTGTAGCCCAGATACAACAATTGAATTTACTTGGTAAAAAGGCATTTGTTATGATAATATTCAACTGCACCGTCATACTGAAAATAAAAACGGAACAAAATAGACGGATCGATGTCTAGATGAAATTGAAACTAACTCTCCTAAAGGAGGCGCGATAGCTCAGTCGGTAGAGCAGTGCATGGTCTCTTAAACCGATGACCCGGGTTTGAAACCCGTAAGGCATTATTAATCCTCATTACCAGGTCCTAATTCGGAGAGGACCTTAAGCCGATCTGCCATTTTGTTGCTTTACTAACAAGCATTTATGCTTTCTTAGCAGTCAGGTAAAATAACCACCATCACATCACAACTTTCTTTGAACTTTCTTTAGGTGAGGTCCGTTATATGGAGCTCCGATGACAGCAAGATCATCTCTTGCGGTATGGACGGTGCTGTATATGAATGGAATGCCTTCTCAGGCAAGCGAGAGGGTGAGAGTGTCCTCAAGTCCTGTAGCTATACCTGTGTGACCTCCAGCCCCGATGGAAAGGTCACCTTTGCCGTGGGCTCTGACAGGACCCTCAAGGAAATATCAGATTCACAGGTGAGTTTCAGGGAAAAAAATACTTTAACAATTTTGGAGGCTACTTTTCAAGCTTGCTTGCATGAAAATAACACTCTTTAATTTGTTTTGCATTGAACTCTATGCAAATTTTTGGGGGCTCTTTTATGAGTTTCGGGGGCTCTTTTTAGCATTTTGGGGGCTAATTTGCCCCAACCCCCCCGTGTATATTTTTCACTAGTGAGTTTTGATGCTTACTCCAAACAGATAGTTCCTTCTTCATAGAGGCTTGTTGTGCCTTTTCACTTTGTTCATTGTATTGGTTGAAAGTTAAAATATCCTTTTTTTTATAACAATCTTCAGAGTCTGCTGTTTTGCCCATCCTTTTGTGCTACCTCTGCAAGTTTATACCATAGGCAAATCTTTAAATTTTCATCATATGTGCAAAGAGAGTAAAAGGTTATTACACATCATATACTATGAAGAAGGTATGTGGAGATTCTTGAATATTACTTCTTTTGACTGAGTATTATCACTTCATTCTGGAATTTCGATTTCTTTTTCTTCTCAAAAATACTGTGTAGTGTCGACTATTCGTCATGTTTGTATTAATTGGTAATTAAATTGTTTCCAAATAGAGTACAGAAGCTGTGCCATCATCAAAATCTATTTTAGGGATTTTTCGATTTTGTCTTCATTTTCCGAAAGAGCATCAAAAATAATGTCCAAATGTCGAAAATTAATCAAATATGTTAAGTATTGGCTGAGATATGACCATCTGAATATAGAGATTTCCTGTAGGAACTCAGTGTTATATTACTCTGGCTCGTAATGTTAAATTCCACAAATTATATTTTTCGAGTTGATTGTTGAGATAGTAGATCATCTTTTAATGTTTTGATGTTTGATATTACCACAGATCCTTCGTGAAGTGGATTCTAACGAGACCACTCTCTCTCAAGTTGTCATGTCACATAGTGGGCGGATGTTGTTCGCTGGTACCGGTAACGGGACCCTGCGCTCCATGAAGTTCCCTCTCACTGTACCAGGTGAATGGCAGGAGCATATGGGACATGGAGGAGGCATCACAAAGGTAAGACCCGCTTTAAGCAAGCAACAATTTAAAGCGGGGCTGCACTACTAACTTGTGGCTACTTGCACCCTCTATATGACAAACAATGCCTAAGCGCCGGTTCCCGTTGGTCCCCCATGATCCACTTTTTCTTATGTTAATTGAGAGCTGATTTGATGAGATAACCACCTGTCAGTGACCTTGCAGGGAGGTCTAATCCCTCCTGGCCAAACTAGTACAGATGGGCTTTAAAGGCAGAAAGTCTCTGACTAAGAACGAGTGCTTTCCAACTAATATTAGAATTTACAACTGTTTCTATAGAATGCTTACAGGAAACAAGACAAGTAACTTGATGTACAGCTTAATTGTCTCTTGATGTATTTCATATGTATCAATGGAAATATAATCAGCTGTTCACAGTGAAAACTATGCAGATTTTCCATTCCAGTTTTTGCTATAAAAGCACAGATGTGTATTGATAATTGGTGGATGGAAAGCCTTTCCCGATCATGATTTTGACAAACTGCTCCTAAGAAACCAATAAACTATTTCAATTGGCAAGTCATCTATATATGTTTGGAAGAAAACAAACATGTGCTTACAAAATATAAAAATTGTTGATGATGAGAGAGATGCTGTTAGTATACAAATAATACACTGCAGTGAGGGCATTAGTAAGAATTACCCACATGCAAGGTACCTTTGGAACAGTCTAACACGCCCGAGGCGATAGCCAAGGTACGTGTTTGGACTGTTTCGAAGGTACTAATGCCCAATCAAAATGCTGTGTATTATTTGTTTTATAAAATTATCACATGGATCCTTGTTATTTGATAAATCACCCTCATCTCAAAGTCTGTACATTACTAATTCTAGGTCTACATCTATATCTAACTTAGATAACTAATGCGTTTTAAATTCCGCTGCAGCCATTTTCGCGAGTAAAAGTAAAACGATACATCTCAATGGTTGCGATTGCAAAACATGATTGCCAATGACCGGTCATTACCATAGGATAATGACCGGTAGTTCTCCAAATTTCGCGTTAGGCTAAATAAATGCACGGTCACGTGTACACTTTCAACCAATCATTGATTAGGATCTACGTCATCATTTTATAATTATAGTTCATTCCCATTGATGAATTGTATATTTTGTTCTTTTTGTATAGATGAGGATCACATATGATGACCAGTACCTCATCACCATCTCAGAGGATGCAGTACTTATGATCTGGAAGATCAATGATAAAGAAGGACGTGGTCTCAAGAGAACAGACAAGGAGGTTGGCTACGCGGAGGAAATCCTCATCACCAAGACCGACCTAGAAGACAAGGTACAGTGAACCTCTTTAGTCTTACTTTGTCTCTTTATCTTCCTTCCTCTTAGTGTCTCTCTCTCTCTCTCTCCCTCCCCCTCTTCCCCCTTCTCTCTCCCTCTCTCTCTCATTCTTCTTTCTCCTTCTCTATCTTTCCCTTTCTTATTTTCTAATTTCTTCATATCTCCCCTATATTTCTCATTCTTTATCTCCTCTCCCCTTGTTTGGCTCTTCTTCTGCTTATCTATCTTTCGAAGTCTCTCTCTGTCTTTCCCTTTCTATACCTCCCTTCTCTTACATTCCTTCCTTTGTGGATCTAATCCTATTCCCTTGCCAAGCCTGCCTTTTAAATTAACTTTCCCATCTTTCTCAATCTATATCTCCTCTCTATCTCTCTCTCTCTCTCTCTCTCTCTCTCTCTCTCTTTGTCAGTTTGACTCTTCTTCTGCTTATCTATCTATATTTCTCCGTCTCTCTCTGTCTTTCCCTTTCTATAACTCCCTCCTTCCCAAACATTCCTTTCTTTGGGGGTCTAACCCTAATTCCCTGAAGAAATCAGCCTTTAACTTTAATCAGCCTTTAACTTTCCCATCTTTTAACATTTAAAGGGTACTTACTAATTATTCAACCATCCTCTTTGATTTATCCCACCTTTCCTTCTTCAGAACCAAGAGATGGGCGAGCTGAAGCAGCGAGTGGAGGAACTCAAGATGGAAAACGAATACCAGCTGAGGCTGAAGGACATGAACTACAACGAGAAGATCAAGGAGCTGACGGAGAAGTTCATCCAAGAGATGGAGTCTCTCAAGACCAAGAACCAGGTCCTCAAGACAGAGAAGGACAAGGAGGAGGCCAAGCACGACGAGGAGCTGGCGGAGACGATGGAGAAGCATGCCAAGGAGCTTCAGGATCTTGGTAAGTTTTTTCATTTTCCCTTTTTTTTATCTTTCTTTCTTTTTTGCCTTCTCCTATTTCCCTCCATTTTTTCCTCTCTTATTTATTCCCCCCCCCCCCCAAATCTATAATTTCTTAGCTACATATTTTTTTTCTATTTATTGATTTTCTAAGCATACTTAGTATATTATTGTTATATTGTAAAACAGCATCTGAGGAACTAACACTTCAACAAGCTCTGCTTCTAGTTAGTTCCCCTTTTCTCATGCTTTTTCTATTATATTTGTCGTTTCCTCGCATATTTTTGTAATATAATTATTCATTGTATTATGTTTTGCATGAGAAATAAAAATCATTTGTAAAAAAGTGTTCCACCCAGGGATGTTTTCCAGGCGCAAGCTTCTGATGATGCCACCGTCATTAAATCAAATTTGAATAAGTTGTTGAATTCTCTGGTCAAATTGAGATTTTGAGAGAACATCTTATTGAGGAATTAATTTTTCCTTCAAATAAATCCAGTTGCAGATTGTCAGCATGCACATCTCGTTTTTGAGATTTTCATATCATTCGAAATACAGATCTCTATCTGGAGCATGAAGATAGATTTAAAGATAGTAACCTTTTATTACATTTATAACAAGCCCATTTGTTACAACGTAGCAGAGATGATGAATTTCACACTCTCTAGTAAAAACATTTCAATTTTTTGTTTTTCCAAGGAGGATTGAGATTTGTCTTTTAACTTAAGAAAGGTTTTGTTATTTTTTAGCAGACATTCTTAAAGAGATATACTGTTCAAATTACCTCCTGCCATATCTGACTTAAACATCAGCTTAATTTCAAGATATAGATTATCTTTAGTTGTTGATATGGTTGTGATTACAATTGTTAAAGGGAGTCACTCGTCAGTTTCCATGTTCAGAAGGCAATAATTCACTGCATGACACCAGACTTGGTGGAAATATCATTAATGAGAGTACAAATCTGCACACAGCAAACCCGTAGGCCAGTCAAGAATTTCCCCCTAATCTCTCAGAGAATACTCGAGAGTCTTCGGGTGACAGAAAAGCAAAGCATTACATAAGGTCTAATGGCCATAAAACTGGTGAATGACAACACCTGTTATTGGGTAAACACCCGAACTGTGTCGAATTCCCCATGAGAGCTGACTACTGAGTGTCTTTAACATATTTATTTTCCTTTGATGCGTAGAATCTGCCAACAACCAGAAATTGATGATAGAGTATGAGAAGTACCAGGAGCTGCAGTCTAAGAGTCAGAAGATGCAGGAGGATTACGAGAGACAGCTGGCCGAGATGGAAGAATCCAAGGAGCAGGCCCTGGAGGAGCTCACCGAGTACTATGAGACCAAGCTACAGGAGAAAACAACACTCCTGGATCAGGTAGGTGGACGATGGATCCCTTTAACAATCAATTCAATTTCCTGCATAACCTCCCTTTCTTGGAATATGTTTGTGACTTTCACTTGCATATTAACTCATATTTAGTAATAATGATAATAACAATATTTATAAAGCACAACATATCCATCTCTAGAGATGCTCAAGGCGCATACAAATAATTTAAATTAATATTCAACATACTTAAGATTAAAGAAATATTAAATGTTAAATTATATTAGATCACACAACTTCATGGTGCCATGGTACAACATGGTCACATCTCCAGACCATTTCCAAACCAACCCAAATATGTAGGCCATGCATGCAGGGTAATTTAAGTTTTGTTTGGGCTGTTGTAGGTCTGATGTCTTTGTAGTGTAAATAGTATATAATTGTACTGATATTTGCTACATTCTTATAATATGTGCCATACTCAGTTCGTTTGTACAATCAAATGGAGTGAGGAGCATGCATGTGGCCCAAGTATCGGCTTGGCATAGTTTTCCTCCCTTCCTTCCTTCACACTGATGTTCTATCCTTTTCATCATTTTCAGTGTGTAATACAAGAATATGAAAATATTTCTATCTTGTCTATCTTTTATTTTAATGGTTCTTCTATGATTATAAACACAATGATATAGTTTCTCATATATATATATATATATTACGTATTTATACAATTTGTGACCAAACAAATTTCCATGTATTTTTTTGAATTTGTATGAATAAAAAGAATTGAATTGAATTGAATTAAGTATGACTTAAATTTGTTGTAAATGTGTTTATTCAGGCCACAGAGGAGTCCCGTCAGCAGCAGCGTGAGTATGAGGAGACCAAGAAACAGATTGAAGAGGATGCTGATAGGGAGATCTTAGACATCAAGAACAAGTATGAAAGAAGACTGAGAGACGAGAAGGAAGCTAACATGAGACTCAAGGGAGAGACAGGCATCATGAGGAAAAAGGTAAAAATAGGATTAAGCCACAGCAAAAGGAATGAAGTTTAAAACTAGCAGTAGTAGTAGTAGTAGTAGTAGTAGTAAAAGTTATGGTAATTTGTTAGGAGAATACTTGTGTAGTCCAAAGCTGTTACATTGTATATCCCACTTCAGATGAAGCCAACTGTATTTATACATTGTCTGTTTCATGGAAGGATATTGTTTCTTATTAGATATCATGCAAAGATCTGTGAGCTCTTTTGATTCTACTCTACTCAATACCTTAATTGTGAGTGATATATTGCTTCGCACGGGGGGAAATAGTCTCGTTAATAAGACAATAACATTGTACTTTTGTGTATTAGGCCAGACATGATAATGTTCGGAAGGACCTTTAAAGTATCGCCATGGTTACTGTGGTACTGTTGATACACCTACGTATATATATATCTTAAGGTATTCAGAGAAGAAGCTCCTTTCGGTTGTACTCCTTTGGTTTAAGCATATCCATTGCAAGGGCTAGACTGGTAGCTGACCCTGTCTTGAGCAAAAACCAATGACCCCACACTGTATGTAGATCTTAAGGTATTCAGAGAAGAAGCTCCTTTCAGTTGTACTCCTTTGGTTTAAGCATATCCATTGCAAGGGCTAGACTGGTTGCTGACCCTGTCTTGAGCAAAAACCAATGACCCCACACTGTATGTAGATGATTGTAAACATTAAAATGGCGATGTTTGTTCCTTGTAATAGTTCACCAGTCAGCAGAAGGAGATAGAGGATCACAAGGATGAGATCAAGAAGCTTCAGAATGAGCAGACCAAGCTTCAAGGTGTCATCAAGTCACTGGAGAAGGATATCTATGGGCTCAAGAAGGAGATCCAAGAGAGAGATGAGACCATTCAAGATAAGGTAGGTCCTATGTGCTCATTTGTGAATAGTGAGTTATTGCATGGTCATGAAGATTCAGTAGGTTTTCATGTCATAAATGTGTTAAGATTGGAAAGCGATTTAATCAGGTTTGTTGGATAAGTTATAATTTCAACAATTAATAAGAAAAAAAAGTCATACCAAGGATATTTGGTGGATTCTGTTGCGTAACATCGGTCTCAGTGACAGAGACCTCTAGTACATTTCATAACTTGGTCACAATCTGTTGTCCTGCCCTTTTATCTAGCTTGTTCAATGACTGGTCCACCTCGGCAGTTGAGAGGTTTGCAAATGAAGATCATTAATTCTATTCATTTAGTTAGATATATCACAATTAATTGCAGAGTCCTAGGTAACCTAGTTAGCTTGCTCTAAGATACCCATTAATGACAACCATTAATTGAGGATCCATATTAAAATAGCTTGGTCTGCAATATGTTTTGAATTTAAGAATACAGTGATCTATTTTCAAGGTTCATATCAATACTGTAGATGTGTGTTGATGACAGCAGCAAACGTCACTTTTCAAACCACTGGCTCTCCTAATTCCCTTATCTCCCACCCCTCCATCGCCCTACCCTCTAACAGGAGAAGCGCATCTATGACCTGAAGAAGAAGAACCAGGAGCTCGAGAAGTTCAAGTTTGTCCTGGACTACAAGATCAAGGAGCTGAAGAAGCAGATCGAGCCCAGGGAGAACGACATCAAGGACATGAAGGAGCAGATCCAGGAGATGGAGAGCGAGCTGGAGCGCTTCCACAAGCAGAACACCCAGCTGGAGCTGAACATCACCGAGCTCAGGCAGAAGCTCAAGGCCACCGAGAAGGAGATGCTGATGGAGAGACAGAAGGTGAGAAGTAGGAGGAGGAGGAGGATAATGTGATGGTGGTGTTGATGGTGATGGTGTTGATGATGATGATGATGATGATGATGAAGATGATGATGGTGGTGATGATGATGAAGATGATGATGGTGATGATAAGGCTGATTATGATGATGGTGATGATGATTATGATTATGGTGATGATTGTGATTATGATTATGGTGATGGTGATGATAATGATGGTGATGATAGTGATGGTGATGATGATGATGATTATGATGTTGATGATGATGATGATGATGATAATGATGAAGATAATGATGATGATTGTGATGATGATTATGATGGTGATGATTATGATGATCGTCTTGATGATGATGATGATGATGTTGATGATGATGATGATGATGATGATAATGATGAAGATAATGATGATGATTGTGATGATGATTATGATGGTGATGATTATGATGATCGTCTTGATGATGATGATAATGATGTTGATGGTGATGAAGATTATGATGATGGTGATGATTATGGTGGTGATGATTATGGTGATGATGATTATGATGAAGATGGTGATGATGATGATGATGATTGTGGTCGTGATTATAGAGGGGGTAATGATAATAATGATATTAATCATTGGATTCAAATAGCCCTTTTACAAAAGGATAAAAAGCACTTATCATTATTATTACACCTACCTTATAGTCATTATGGCAATAGGGCTCAGACTTTTTGAAGACTTTCTTCAAACCAGGTACCAATGAACTTCATTTCTGACAATGAGACAACTATAGTTCTAATTTTCCAATGTTTCTTGCACAAGTGTTTCATAAGAAGTGCTAAAAAACTCCATCTTTCTCTCTGTCTTTAGGTGCGAGACATGGATGCCATCAGCAGGCGATTCAAGACAGATCTTCACAACTGTGTAGGCTTCGTGCAGGAGCCCAAGAAGCTCAAGGAAAGCATCAAGGCACTCTACCAGAAGCATGTACAGGATGACACAGTGAGTAGAATAAGACTTTGGGTATGCCACTTACCTGATCGACAAATGTGTATCTTGAGTGAATGTTCAAAAGCTACACTTATGTTAATCTTGTATGTATATAGTTCATGCCATGTATAAAGTCAGTTTTATTTTGGGCTCTAAAATAGTAATAAAATGGGCTGGACTAGACACTAAAACTTCCTTGTAGCTAAAATTGTAGACTTTTATAGGCACGTTCAATTCATTGGATCCATCTTATCCATTGATTACTTTCAAGTTTCAAGTTTTTCAAATTCCTGTCCATACTGTCTTAAAGGGAGTGTAGCACGACGAGACTACCTGACTTTCCCGTGGCCTAACTTGGGGGCCAATCAGATATAATACGACTACGGACGACTTGACCGCAGTATTCACATGCATGCAACATACTCGAAACCGAAGCATAAGGAGAACTTCGGTCTGTTTCGCGAACGCTAGCGCACTCTGACTGTTAATCAAGTCCATTCGCTTATGTGCAGAACTGTCCAAAAGAAGTCGTAGATGGCGTTATAACCAGTATTTGCCATGCTACACCCCCTTTAAGTTTGATTCAGCATTAATCAACGTTTATCCCAATCCTTGTTTCAGATGGAGTCGGCCAGCGTTGATGCAGACATCCAGAGGGAGTATAGCAGACAGAGGAAACATCTGGAGCAGAGCGTAGCCTCCCTACGTAAGAAGCTCACCAAGGATACAGAGATCCATAGAGCAGATAATGTCAGAATCATGCAGGTAAGATATACTACCAGTCTTCTACTTACTTACTTGGGTATACTTGGGTGTAGAGACTGCGAAAGCTTAGCTTATTTGTCCCTTTTTACTGTTGCATCCCGTCTCAAGTATGGTTCAAACTCAATTGGATTGTTTCTCCAATACCTTTCTAGGGATGACTTGAATTTGTTAATGGTGGCAGCATTGACTACTTCCTTAGGCAGGGCATTTCAATTATTTACACTCCTTATTGAGAAACTATACTGCCTAAGTCTTGTGTTGAAACGTTGTTTGACAATCTTGAAATCATGGCCTCTTGTTGTTGAGCCAGTGGCAAGTTGGAAGAATTTTGAAGGATTCACTCTGTCAAAGCCTCTCAGGATTTTGAATATCTGTATCTGGTCTGCTCTCTGTCTTCTGTAAGCCAAAGTAGGAAATTGTAGTTCTCTAAGTCTGTCTGGATATGCTTTTTGTTTCAGCTCAGGAAGAAGATCTTTCCCCTTATAATCAGGAGTTCCGTGATAGTGCTTTTGATCCTTTTTGAAAAAGACTCTTGTTTGGAAGAGCCATCCACCCCATATATTGGAGGGGGGAAAATTGTTTAAATTAAAAAATGATATGTGTTGTATTCAATTGCAATAAGCTTGTATTTGAACTTTTTTAAAGATGTGTATAGTGGATTACCAGTTGATTATCCTTACTGTGGACTTGCCCCAATTTAAGTCATTCGTTTGTCATGAATAAACGGACGAGTTAAGATACCAAGAGATAGTTTTAGTATACTTTGTACACAAAACTATAAGTTTACCTAATAGTAATTAATAAAAACTAATTCTGTAGGATATTAAATACATTTAAGATCTAGAGAAGTTGATTACAACATGAATATGTTTGTGTGTGTAATGGTGTGTAGTCTGACGTTAATTGCTTTATGATGCAATCCTTACCAAAGTGACCATTTCATTTTTCACAGAATCTGTTTTAGAGTGATTCATATAACTCTTATTTGAGAAGGATTGTAGAATGATAACTTGATGCAATTAATATAAAGTTTATTTTCTTTCCCCATCAGGAAAATGTTTCACTGATCAAGGAGATCAATGACCTGAGGAGAGAGCTCAAGATTGCCCGCACCCAGGTCCACGATCTGGAGGCCGCCCTCGGAATCAACAAGAAGAACAAGACCCCCGCCCAAGATCTGACCTCCGTACCCAACGGATCCATCGTCTCCGGCCTAGCCTCCAGAGAGGGTCGCAACGACGAGAACGTCAAGATCATCGAGATGCAGCGAGAGGAGATCCGTAAGCTGAGGACCGCACTTACAGACGCAGAGCAGTTTGCAACGCAGAGACCGCCGTCAGGTGCGAGGCTCCCTCCTGTACTCGCACAATAGTTGATGTATACAACCTGTATGTAGAGTATATTCTAGACTTTATTGTAGATTCTTCAGAATCACTTGGAGGTGTGAGACGCTATAGTTTTTTCCCCTCCAAAAAAAAGGATTTATATTGATGCCAGGCTCATGAATCACCTCACCTATATTCTAGAACACAAAGAATCATCCTTTGGGTTGATAACTGAAGCTCCCAATCGTTGGAGAGTTAATTGCGCTGTTCTTTCAAATTTGCATACCATTTTGAATATCACCTTGTCAAAGATTCAACATATTTTTCACATCATTCCTTGTTTTACATCAGTCAGCCTTCCAAGTTTACTCCATATTCTTGTATGGAATCCTCACACCTTGAAACAGAATGCAACCAACTGTGCCTGAATGCATTGTTAAGATGACAGATCATGTTAACGTTCACACATTAGTGCACATTTGCACTTTGATGTCTCTCTTGCAAATTCAAGATAACTTAAGTCATTGTCAAGGAAGAATTAAAGACAGGTGTAAAAGAAAACAATGATACATTGTCTTTGCCAGCATTGTAAACTTTGATTCTTTTCCAAGGGTTGTGTCTCATGAAATGAGTCATTGGACTGAACCTTGCAAAAGAAGAATGAACATTATCAGCATTTAATTAAATTTGCTTCTGTGACAGTTTATTCTCATACTCTATTCAGGGTTCTTATTCCTTACAAATGTTTAGATCGTTTGTCCATTTTCTACTGAAATTTAAACCAGACAGTGGGTCTAAAAGCTTTGTCTAAATTAAAGTTTCAAGAAATAAAGTAGACCTAGATTTAAAAAAAAAAAATTGGTCCCTTTATTAACTGGTGTAACTGACTGATGAACCTAGTTCATAGGCATTGGCATTTACTCAAGCAATGATTGTACGGATAACACATTGCATGGTTTGTAACCTCAGCCGTAAGAAGGAGGAGCATCTTTAAACCATGTGCACCCATGCCCTTTACCATGGCCAGCATAGGTCGCAGGCAGCCAAAGTCATTCAGTTTTCATGGGCCTGTAAATTGATCCTCGTGGTATGTGGGTGGTATTACTTCATAGGCAGAGCTGACTCCAGTGATCTGTTCCATCAAATAAATGCCTTGCTGCCATGATGCTTCGACTAACAGATTATGAAACTTTTTGAAAAATTGGCTTCCAAACAGATATTCCAGTGCGTATTCACACAAGATATTACCTGTCTTTCAAACTGCCTTTACAGTGTGATGCAACTTTCCACCTTACCCAAAAACTTTATATAAAGTTTATGATGTACTGTGTAAAGACATGAACTGATTCCTGTCTCTATCTCTCTTACTCACACTTGATGTTATTAATTAAACTTTGAACATTATTTCCTCACAAATGACACATTGCTTTTAACTAGAGATAAGGAGAACACCTATTAAACGTTTTTGAATTACAACAAAATGAAGAAATCAAAAGAAGATGTTTTGCAAAATTGAGAGAACATCAATTTTGGAAAGAAAGTCATTGGACCTGCAACACCCGATTAATGTAAGCAGCCTAGAAACCGAATATACAACCAATTTTGGAACTGGTCATGTGACTCAATCTTTCATATAATCTAAAAACATCCTCAAAAGAAACTGAATATTTAAAAACAACAGTGAGCACAGCAATGAAAGCTAGGCACTGCACTTTCCAAACTCATTTTTTTTTTTGTATTGAACTTTTTATGATGTTGTAGGCTTCAAGCTAAACAATGGATCTCTCCAAATTATGAACTTGTGAGTCATGCACAACAAAGTTGTTAATTGATAGCTTCCTATCTGTTTAGATGGCAAGTCTGTTTTACTCACCATGAGGTGTGGGAGAGAGAGAGAGAGAGCAAGCAAGATATGTGCTGTCAGCGAGACCATAACATGAGACCATGTGAAACCAAGCACTTAACATTCCAAAATGTTCTCGTACATGTCTGCTTGTCATCGAGTTAAATTATTCCTGAATGAAATGTTCATAGATCTTTTTCATTACATCATTTTCTGTGGTATGTACTTTCTATCTTGTATTTTGATAGAAAAATGTGTGCAAGTTTGAATTCAATATTGCTCATATCTCAAGATTTGCACAAACTGCTCAATTTTGTATATCTCTTGCAAAATTTCTTTTTTAGGATAGATAGTGCGTCGCTGAATGCAAGTTTGATTATTGAAAACTGAATGTGCATGAGAACAGACCCATTTATTTAAGATGGTAATGTTCACATGCAAAGCTGTATATGAAAATTTCAAGATTTACACGAGACAATGAATCTCTGAAGTAATGACACATGCATCCTCTTGAACCTTGATTATATTTAGATTACTATCTCCCACTAATAATGATGAACTCTTTCTATCTGTTGGCTCACTTTTTGAGCCAAAATGGGGCATAAGGCTTTCCACAGCATATTCATTGTTGAGCCTATGCTGATTTAGCAAGTGTTGAAGTGATCGGTGCTGATGTCATACATTAATATGGGAGGAAGTATGGCACGTGAAGAGAAAGAGGAACATTCTTTTGTTTTGAGTCATATAACCGCACTTCCTGTCGCAAGTTATGAATCAATCAAAGTTTGAGGCTGGAGACAAGCTAGAAGGGGTCTAGGGTACAGTGCCCCCTTCCCACGTACCTCCCCCTCCTATCAGCGTATTATGATTTAACCTTATAGATTGGTGGCTCCTTAAAAAGAGTAGATTTTTAGAAGCCCCTGAAATTTAATCATAATCTTGCCTTTTCCCAATTAAGGATTTTGGTATTTTACCTCTGACAGTCATATCCCAACCCCCTCCCCCTCCCCCTACAACTATCCATGCATCTTACCCCCCCCCCCCATGAGGATCCTGACTGCACTCTACATGTGGACAAGGAGATGAGGGGGTAGCTAGGGAAGGATGGAATGTGGTAGACTATAGGTAATACTGTGATGAACCCCAGGCCCATCAAGGTCCAGGCAAGCCCCCTTTTTGAGGAAAACCCCTCTTGATACGACACATACATCTCGGCATCGAGAGGGGGGGTGGGGTTTAGAAGGAATGTGGTAGACTACATGGTGATACTTCGATGAATCCCCCATCAAGGTCTAGGCAAGCCGTTGACTGGATGGAATTCCAGCCAGCCTACGCTCTTATATAGCCTGTTCAGACTATCGGAAACCTCGCGTAAGGAAACATCGTATAAAGAATCATCATATAGCAAAAGGAGCGTAGAGACTAGAAAAACAACATTAATTGCAGAAATTTGGTTTAAAGAAACTAATTTTAAAGAGGTCATTTTACCCAACAGCTGACCGATCATCAGAGTACCATACACTCACAATAAGCCATGTCCAGTTATACAATTTTCATATGATGGGATGTTCAGACCACAACCGGACTGTGACTCAAGTTTTGATGCTCAAACGTGCTTTATGCTTTTCATTGTTTCTTTATACAATGTTTAAGACTATATATGAAACAAATAATCTCTTATTGTGTAGCTGCATGTGAATGATGAATTCCAGTAGTCTAGCTGAATGCAGGGTTAACATTGCATTACTCGAAGTCAAATGGGTCTTGAATGTCACGTGCGAAATTAATGGAGTAGAAGTTAGTGGAAGAGGATGCGCTGAGTGGATGCACTGAGTCACCAAGGAATCAAGATAGGAAAGCCTCCATAGGGTTGAGGTATGGGAGGGAAATAGAATTGCTGTGTGGCCTTGTATGTTAGGGTTTGGATTTCAGCTTCTATTAAAGGTAAAGACCAGTTTTGGAAAACTCCCCCTCTCAAAAAATGAAATGGAAGCTCTTATTACCAACCATGTGAAAGAATATGTTTTGACTAAGACATGATCATACAAATTTTGCTGAGAAACCACCTACTAATTGATATTTTTGGTAAATTATTATATCTATTTGGACCTGATAGATATAATGCACGTATCGTACATGTGTCGTGTTGTCCCATATACATCTTTCTGTATACAGTGCTTTTTACCAAGACTGGGCCAAATTTCTTATCATTTTGATGATTACAGAACCATGCAGTACACACCAATAGTTATATGCTAGATGATCAACTTTTTCTGATCGATTCCACGTTTCTTTCACAATGCAATCGCACGATGAACTGATCGCACGAAGAACTGATCTTTACCTTTAAAACATCAGATTGATGATGCATCACCTGTGAATAGACAGAAGGACAGCAACCCTATTTATTTTGAGACAGAGTTAATGATTGTTTTGCTCTCAACATGCAATATTATCTGGACCCATATTTGTATATAAATGCCAACAAATCTTGAGTATGTTCAATTAAGTTCAGGTTATTAATGAATGAAGCACCAAAATATAATGTATCCATGTCTATCCATGTGGCATAACGTATAATAGAGCAAATTATAACTACAAAACTGTACAATGAAATAGTAGGGAATTTATGACAAATTTGTCACTTAATGTTAGTACATCTATAGATTAGTTTCAAAATTGACATTTCAAATAATTGATTCTTGTGCTATATGATTGAGAAAAATATTTGCAAATTCTGTGTATAATGTGTCATCTCATTTTTCTTCAGTCTAGCGACTGTTTTGTACTTTTATTCAATAAGTGTGATCAGAGAACATTTAATGCAAATTTGAATGAACTATATCTTTGCCTGTGATATTCCAACTGGTCCAGTATTCTGAGCCTGTGTTTATAGTCATAACTATCTTTTCTTCCATCATGCCTTCTTTATCTATGCCTGTGCACTAAATAGTTATACTATGATGTGTTTATTACACCATAAACTGTCTTAATGATCCGTCCATAGTGATATTTTCATGCATTTATAGGTAGAAAACGTTCGATTGTCTTGTTTCAAATCAGTTGTGCAGATCCGTCTACTTTTAATTGTTAATTGTTATTATGGAAGCAATAGTTTCTGAATATTCACAAATTGCCTTCCTTGAAGTGGAAAGACCTTTTTTAATAAGAAATTATATCACCTTGTCAAACATTACTCAAACCTTGATTAAAACCATTCATGATTCCTGTAAAAGTATTGTATACCAGCTATTTCACACAATAGACTCATTGTCAGAATGATTGGGCCAGCTAGCCAATATGTATTAATATAAGCAAGGCTAAATGATATAAGCCAAGGACTTTGCGAACGCTATACAAAAGGATTTGGGATAGCTTTGATGTAATGACTGTGTATTAAAGTGTATTAGTGTAATATACATGAGAGATTATGTTTTGTACAAAATAACACTGTATCATTTGTAAAAAGAAATATACATGGTAGTGTAATATACACAGGAGAATTATTATGGATCCCCACAATTACTGCAATTGTTTAAAAGAGTGGATAGATATTTCATTGCTTCTGTAATAGGCAAACCTGCATTTGTTTTATTTAGTGTTTTCTTTCTTTTATCTTTAAAAAACAAGAGTTACTGAGAAGTAGAAACACTGATAGATTTTATCACATAAATCAACTGCAGTCTGTTGTTTAAATTTCTCTATTGCTCTGAAACTTAATTTGGATGTATTGATATTTTTGGATAGAGAAGTGTTTCTTCAGGAATTATTTAGATCAAAATGACATGGCTCCTCAAAAGAAAAGGCCCCAAAATTGTTTTTAATCACCAGCTGTTATGGAAAATCTTCATTCATTACGATGCGTTGGAGAAAGAGGGTTGGGGGAGAAAATGAGGACATGTTGGGATTTAAACAGGGACATATATGGCTTAGTATGGCCCCAGTTTCTGCCCTCTACTTAATCTTAATCTGTAGGATCGATATAGCAAAATCCTTGTTGACTGATTAGGGTGTAGCCATTGTTGAGCTTTCTTTAATCTTTTCTAAATAATAGTGTACATACTTTCATAACTCAATTTGATATCCCATCCTATTTGAATTGAATAGTATATTTACGAGTGTATATAATTATTTGCATGTGTACTTTATTTAATGAAAGAATAAATATATTTGTTGTTCAAAATATACATCTATGTGGCTAAGATTTGCTTTTGTTGTGTTTGGCCTTGTATTGTTGAGTTTTTATCTAAGTTGGATAGAACCACATATGAAAATACACTGTGCAAGCCAAGGTCACAAATTTGAAGAAAAAAAATATTTGGATCTGATGATGCAAATAATCAGAACTTCAAATCTCTTGAGATATAGAACAGTGACTTGTCAAATGCAAATTTATGGTGTTTTTCTGAACATATAATATTCAACTTCTTCTGAGTTCTACCAACACCTGAATTACATTTAACAAGAAATATTCAGAGTAAATACTCAGTAAAACACATTTGAAATAATTATGAAATACAACATGGATTTCTTTGATAGATACAAACATTTCCCTATACAGCAAGTTTTATTCCATTTACTCAAATCAGTCGGAGCTAACAATATAATTCAGTCTCCAAAGATACAACAGTGTAATTACAGAGATATGTAAACATTGCATGGTGGAAAGATACTAATTGTGTTGACAAGGGTCTAGGCAGAAGAAATATGAGCTACAAAATACTTTCTGAAAATCAAATCTGGATTTATTCAAAGGAAATAAAAGTGAATTTAGGAAAGCCTTTTAAACTTTCTCTTAATTGTACAGCTTCCTTTAAAACTTTAATTTCATAGAGAGATTAATAGTACACTGAAACTTTGCATAATTTCTTCCCATGATGCAATGGAACCATAGTGGATAAGTCCATAGCCACTTGAGAGAGAGAGAGAGAGTTATGTTACCGGAAATGGCTTGTGATTGGTCAGTCATTCCATGGAGCTCCAAATAGTTACCTTCCATAGAGATTGTATGTTGGAGGGAACTATTTGGAGCAACATGATTTAGTTAACCTATGACTGTGCCTATGTACTTTGATACGCGTTACAGCTAGCTCTCTATATAGTCAAACCTACCGAAGCTGTGACATCATAAAAATCTATTCTTAGAATTTGTCGAAAAACCAGTTGAAAATGTTAAGTATTGGCTGAGATATGACCATTTGAATGAAAAGATTTCCTATAGGAGCTCAGTGTTGTATTGCTCTGGTTCATATAACTGGTTTTCGACATTTGGACATTATTTGTTATGCTCTTTCGGAAAGGGAAGAAAAAAATTGAGAGATTCTAAAAATAGATTTTTGATGACGTCACACTTCACCCGCACTCTATAGCTCTCTACACTATGTATTAGTCTAACCCTACATGTATATACATGTACAGGTATGTTTGATTTTTGATACTGGATTGTAGAGTACTGGATTGTTCAAAGTTGACACAATAGTTGGATTAATTAATTACACCTTGTTTTGTACATGTTTATATGTCAAATACATTTAACAAAGCATCTACATATATATACATAGAAAACATCGTTCATATATATGCTACATGTATACTCCATTTCTATTTTTTTGCATGTTTAACAATATTACATGCATTGTTTTTTTTATTGCCTTAGACTCACAGCGAAAAACCTAGTTTGTTCTTTCAATAAATAGACCAACTATATACAACAATGGGTACCGATGGGCCAATTCATATCCATCAGCACAGTTCACTCACAGGTCAATTAACAATGGAATAACCTTCTTTGTGGTACTTCAACTTCTTCAATTAAAATAGCCATTATCATGTCATGTCTTATCCTTAAGTGTCATAGTCAATGAAACATAGCCCTCATATTTCAGGATTAAAAATTAAAATTAAAAAATTATAAATTAAAAAGTAGTGTAACTGCTTATATCAACAGTCATCAAAAAAGGGTATCACACGTTATTCTTTTGTTTTCAGAGAACGCACCAAAAGAAAAAAAACAATGTGGACCTATGTTTCTGGTACATATATATTTATACAAATAATTTCCTGGTTTTTACAACTGAATTCCATTCACACCCTATTTCAGTTATATTTTTAAAAGAAATTTCCTCCTTCTGGTAACAATTAAAAATCATTCATAGACACCCTAGTCCTTTTAGAACAAAATCATAGTTGGTATGCTGAGTAAAGATTCACATGGATTTAACTGTTCAATTATTTGAAACAGGTTACTGATACATAGTTGAGGAGTTGTAGTGCAAATGAACAGATGCAATATGTAGTGGACATCATGGAAAACAGGAATTCGCAAACTGCAAACTACTGTCCAGTGACCCTCGCATAAATGTTTTCATTTATTACAACTAAAAATGTTAACACATATCATAATGTCCTTTAAAAAAATGGAATTTAAGCCTTGCAGGTGATTTTCAAAGTTGTATTTAATCAAACATTTGTTTGCAAGGGGCTTTTACTAGAGTATGCATCCCTCAAATAATGCCCCAACCCCCATACAATCCGAAAGTGACCCAACATGAATTTGGATATGATTGCATATAACTGAATGAAAGTCATGCGAATCTTGATAATGTAGTACATTACTGTCATAATGATATTTGGATTAAAGGGAAAGTCCACCCCAAAAATAAGTTTGTTTCGATAGAGGCAGAATAATAAGAAAATCAGGTGAGTGAAAGTTTGAGCAAATTCTGAATGAAAATAAGAAAGTTATGAATTATTGAAGTTGTGATCAATCAAACACAAATTGGCAACTCTATGACGTATGGTATCATGCGAGCTCAACTTCCATTTGCTCAGTGCTAAAAAAATCTAAAATTTTCATTTTCCCTCAAGAAAAATTTCAACCATACATGCACCCTAAATATAATAATTGCAAATATGTTTCTATACTCCCCCTGCAAAGAACAAATATATATTCCGTCATCAATAACGAAGAAAACATGATTTTATGGAATATTATGCACAAAGCAAATGAAGGAGAGCTCGTATGATAAGTCACAGAGTTGCCAATTTGTATTTGATTGATCACAACTTCAATAATTCATAACTTTCTTATTTTCATTCAGAATTTGCTCAAACTTTCACTCACCTGATTTTCTTATTATTCTGCCTCTATCGAAACAAACTTATTTTGGGGTGGACTTTCCCTTTAATGGCACCTTTGCAAGAGGATACAATGCTTGTGTTTGTCATCTAAGCATTTTGTGACACAAGTCACTATTTTTTGCATCATCCAACATATTGGTCTCAATTCACAAAACGAGGTCTGCATTGACAGACTACAAAGGACTTTATATCACCTTGGAATTTACGCAGTGGAAGCCAGTCTGGCAAGGGATATAAAGAAACAATGGTGTAATTTATTGTGATATGTCACTGAGTCACTCCACTTCTATTATTCCTTTCTCCAAGAAATCCTTATTATGATTGTCTCTGCTTCTAGCTGACCTCAAATTGGCAGAACAAACAAACAGCATCTGCTCTGCAATTTCATTCATACAGATATGCCATTGTGATTTATTCAAGGTTTTTCTCCCTTCTTTCTGAACACCTAGGCTGGCAACTTGTCATTTTACATTCTGTTATTTAACAGGTAAATTCAAATCATATTTATTTTTTTATCAGCAATCAGCAATCTTTTTTTTTTAATCGAGACAAATAATTTTGTTTGAGGTAATCTAGAGTTCTGGTATTAAAGAAACTGCTTTCCAAAAGATATGGTCTAAAATTCACGTCATTATCTGTTCCGATTCACCCTGAAGTCTTTATATTTTTGTTTCTTTGACAAATCATTTCCCCCATGTTTTCAATTGACATACATGTGACGGGTGTCATTCAGTGTGATATTTTTACATTGCGTGTGAGATATATATAATAATATTAATATGGATATTTATATAGCGCTGGTATCCACCAGGCTCTGACGCTCATGGCGCTGTACATAATTATTATGTTTCTCGTGAATAAAGAACTAAAGATAACATTTAAAATTCCTGTCTCATACTCTCACCCCCATTCTATGACACACAGCTCTACATACCGTAAGACATTTCACACAACACTCAAACTTCGCCAAACCCCATGAAATACCTAAAGCACACATATTGTTGGTAATTGGTATTATCCTTGATTCATTGTGAGTACCAGGTATCTTGTTTGAAAACCCTGTATTTAAAGATAAAGACCAGTTATGGTAATGCGATTGCATTGTGAAAGAAACGTTGTGGAATCGATAGGTATTGGTGTGTACTGCAAGGTTCTGGAATCATCAAAATGATAAGAAATTTGGCCCAGTCTTGGTAAAGTTACAAGCACTGTACACAGAAAGATGTATGGGACTACGCGACACGTGCGTGATATCTATCAGGTCCAAATAGATATAATAATTTACCAAACATATCAATTAGTAGGCAGTTTCTCTGCAAAATTTGTATCATCACGTATTAGTCAAAAAACATATTCTTTTACATGATTGGTAATAAGAGCTTCCATTTCATTTTTGGAGAGGGGGGGGGGGGGGCGTTTCCAAAACAGATCTTCACCTTTAAATCATGCTTGAATGCCATGTAGCATATAATCACTTTTCCATTTTCACTATTTACAACAAATAACTGCAACACTATGACAAAATAAGTTGTGTACTTTTTCAATAAAAAGATATTAGCTTTATTATTTTAACCAAGCCCTCCATTTAAAGAGAACAAAATATTTAATAAAATGCTTTTTACAATAGATACTTCTATAAAGTACAGACATGTCCTTTGTTGATTTAAAAGCTATAGATTTACAATATTATACAATATTCATAAAAGTCATTTAGATATATATGTGTACACGTATACATGTACATGTACATCAGAATTGCATGGACTAAATGTTATTTAAGAAAATATAAAAAATCAATTTGTTAGTTTATACCTTTCCATATATAATATGAAAAAAAAAAAAGAAAAAGGAACAATATTTCAGACAACACAGTAATGAATATGATATTGAAAAGCTTGATAGTGAAAGTGAAATACAAGTTTGCTGCAACGACGTTTGACATGTGTGATATCATCTTTTATACAGGATTGAAATAACATTGCTTGTTTTGGCAGATGGCAGTTTGTTTTGATCCAAAACATATATACGACATTTTCATTGTTGGGACTTGTGAATGACATAGATTTTACAATGCTGCCCAGTTTCATCCTGTTCAGCATTGTTCTGATGTGCCAGAGGTTATTTTTAAATTTTCATTTGATCGTCGACGGCACGGCACACTTTGATTTCTTCTAGTTCTTGTACAGGTACAGAGAGAGAAAAGTCTCAACTAAAACAGCCAAAGACGCACTAAAAGGGTGAACCAGTGACTAATATTGCATTATTGCATACCTACTATACAACAAATAAACAGGATATTATATGAATGTCTCTAACCCTCTATCACAATAGTTCAACAAAAATGAAAGCATTTCAGATTGTTTGAAACCATAAACCTATAATAATACCAATACACTACCCCCATAGAGAAAAAAAGATACCCTTGAAGATATGAGCAATAATTCTTTGTATAAAATATGGTGTTAAATTAATGATGATTTTATAAGACATGGCATTAGTTTGATCTCTTTAAGATATTTGGTGTAATCTTAATGATATCTTCATGATGTTCTCTCCATATACAACATTGGATAGCACCACATTCCTCCTTGTGTGCCTGTGGATAGAGTTTACTCGTGGATTCTTCAGTCTGCATACCACCAACATAATCCTAGCTGTAGACTTAGATACATCCTCCTCCTCCTCGATCCTCCTCCATTTCATTTCATTCAATCTCTTTGACTCGTCCTCATCCACCACACCCTGTTCAGTCAGAGAGGCCCTTCCACATATCTCCTTCTTGCCTGCCATTCAATCCATCGATAAGATGTCTCTTGCAATGATAGTCGCATCATTACGACGACGGTTGACCCCCGATGTGGAAAGGTTCAAAAACATTCCACGGACCAACTCCGGTCACATCATGGTGATGGTAGGCAGTCGGATAGGATTTCCTTGGTAGTGCTAGGAAGATGGTCAGGGAATACGATGTCAAAGGTGATGAGGAGGTCACCGCGGCGACTGGGTTGCTTGGGGTACGGGAGCCCCTCACTGGTCACTCGTTTTCTTGAGTTGGGCTTGATTACTTCTTTGCATGGAACTGTTATCGTTCGTCCTTCGATGGTCGGTACTTTGAGGCTTGTTCCTACCAAGGCCTGGAAGATAGAAGAAGAAAAATAGAGAAAGAAAAAATTTAGATTAATAAATTTGTACACAAAGAAAGTTTACTTTTAAACTTAAGTAAGAGAACAAAGTTATTTGGTTCTTCAAACTAAATGTAAGAAAGATGTCAAGTAGCAAACAAGAGGGATATTATGAAAATATTATAGAAGATTCTAAGATTGTAATGTGAAGCTCAGAAACTCAGTGCAAAGCAAAGACTTCTGCATAGGTGGTCATATCCCACTTAATGATGCGACCAACACTCATAAAAGGAAATTAATTAATGTGGGGAATGTCTGTTTTATGCTTGGCTCTTACAAGTTACAGCTTGAGCAAACCACACTATGAAGTATCAAGTGGTCACGCTTCCATGTGAGTTTTTTTTTAATGCAAAATTAACGTTACCATCTTTTTTTAAAAACCTACTTTTGGGGGCCAGGGGAGGGGGCCCACCGGCCCAGGCCCCCCCCCCCTCCCTCCGCTGGATCCGCCACTGACGGACACTACAACCTAACATCTCCCTGAATACACGTAGGCCCATGTGACATGTGGGCGACTAATGGGGATCTCTGATTGTCAAAACTTCACATTGTATGTATCCGGAATCCTACATGTTTATTAGTGCATGCCTCATCCCAAGGCTTATTACTGTCACCTTTGCCCATGAACACATGTACTGTACATGATGCGCATACCAGTTTTCTTAACGATTTGCCAATGACGTGCCCAATTGCATTGTCACATACATGTACATGTACATGTCGACTTATCATTATGTATGATTTTGTAATGGCTCTTCAATGATTATCAGGCACGACCTTCCAAGTAATTAGCACGGTCATCTCATACAGGCAGTGACCCACTTTCCCCCTCCTCTCACACGATGCATTCTGCGAAAAATGGCCTCTGTTCAGGCCCGTCAAGGTTGCAATTATTGTCTCCTGCAGAGCTGTTGCACCCTCTGCAGTTATTACACATTTACGATTTGGATTAAGGATTGCGCATAGGTCGCGCCAGCCAGTGAGTAGGCAGTAGGCCTGTCTTCACTAGCTCGAGATTGCCAAATATCCCGCTATTTGAACTACGGTATCCCGATCGCAAACTATCCACTGTATCCAGCTAATTTGAGTGTTCATCAGCCCGAAGTTGCAATTAGCGGGATATTTGGTCAGGATTGTTTGCAAAATATTCCACGGTTTGGCAAAATATCCAGCTATTTGTCTCGTGCGTCTTCACCAGACTGAAGACTCGCACTATGCACCTAATGAGTAGGCAGCGGCGGCTGACGAAGGCAGTATTGATGATGCTCTGGGTTGTCCCAAATGACAGGGACCTATAAATATCGCGTGACCCCCTGACTGTGGCAAATACCAAAGTAGGCCAAGTGTTTATGAGATGCTGGCTATGAGGCAGAGAGACAGGAATGTCTGGCAGCTAGCTAGCTCCACGTTGATGTGGAAACTCAACCAGGGTGAGGGCTTAGTCTGCCATCAAAGTCTGATTTAAGAACTTGTAAACCTCAACCCAAAAGAATAATAGTGTACATGTAGGTACCGTATTTGCCGGCGATAAGGCCGCACCCCCGCATAGGCCGCACCCCCGATTTTGACATTTAAAAAAAAAAAAAAAAAAAAAAAAAAAAAAAACTTTTTTTTTTGTTTTTTTTGTTGTTGTTTTGCTGCCGAAAACCCACACGTGGAAGGACCTTCATTTAACATTGAGGTGCAGTTAAAGGCGCTGATTTGTGCTTGTAAACTTGTCACAAATAATAGTAACAATGTCGTTTTTAGAAGAATGTGTAAGATCATTAATGTGAATTAAAAACAATAAAGTACCTATGGTACCAGTGGTGTACCTTGTGGTACACCATTTGTTATAGAAAAAAATTTGAGGAACTATTATTATAAACTACATATTGAGATCTATTAGAAAGATTACTTTCAAACCAAGATGACAGTCAAATTTTAGTGTTGTTGTAGTTTCCGAGTGGTGAGTCAACACACTGATTACTGAGCTGGGAGACATTGCCAGGCATAGCGCCATAAATCGAAACTAAAAAAAAAAAAAAAAAAAAAACTAAAAAAAAAAAAAAAAAATTTACTCTTTCGCCGCATAGGCCGCACCCCGACTTTTTGATATTTTCTCTTCCAAAAATACTGCGGCCTATACGCCGGCAAATACGGTATGCTGAAAGATGAAATTTATTCCTGCCTACTGATGTACCATACAATGTACAATATTCATTACAAGAATGTAAAAGAGAAGAGATATATTTAGTATGAAGATATTCTTAGCATGACATGGAGCAATCCATTTTCTTGATATAGACATACCAGGCAAACTTGTACATGTTGAAGGGGGAAATGTGAGGGATGAAATGTAGTCCCACACATTACTAGCCTGTTGCTTACATGTACATGTATTCACTATACATTTGTCATCAAACTACTGCAGTTATTGGGTCCTTGCCAATAGCCACTGTAAAGTTCCAATGTTCATTTGATTAAATTACATGAATGTGACCCTCTTTACTATCTCACACGTGTAGACGTGTAGACGAGTACAGCTGCAAATCTACTCCTGTTTGTCGCCTACATGTACCTGCCCCGAAAATGTTCCTCAAATCATACAATTCAATTTGTGATAAAGTATATATGTCTGCGGCTCAAGGTATAAGGCTACAGGCTATATTTCTATTTATTAGGGACCCCAAAATGTCAGAGCTAGTCCACTCAGTGGAGAGAGACAAATGTATTATTATTGTCTTGCCAAAGGATATTAGTGCCACGGCGGGACTTGAACCGCAAACTTTACGTGATCCACAGTCCAGTGACGTATCCACTAGAGTGACTAGACCATGACACCTCTACTCTAATACTGCTTTGAGTGAAGCCTACACAACTTTAAATTGTTCAATCAAGATATTCTAAATATGAAAACAAAGCTTGAGCTGCCTGACCTTTCAGTTAACTCTATTTCTCAAGAAGGGATGGATAGATCAAATAAAACCCCTGATCGACAGCGAATGAATTAGCTTCCCCCACTACCGGTATGTGGCTAGGGCAACAACTTGTCTTAACCCTTCAGACTTTGAAACACAATTAAGCTGGATAGCTGTCAGTCAGCATTGCTCAGCAACAAGCATCTAGATAGCCATGATGATCCACATTCTAGAACACAAATTGCGTTTACGAGGAATTGCTTCACCAGCACCATGATATTAAAATGCCAAACAGGTGACAGGTTTGGTGTTTTGAATTTGACTCATCGTTAGCCACTAATGCTAATAGTACTAGTAGATCATGCATTGTGTATCATGTGTTGATAACCAGAAGGGCACTCAGACAAGATCTAGTGTGTGTACTATGTATATGACATACAGACATATTGTGTGTATACAATGCCATTAGAAGTTAACACCCTTCTGGCTCTCAGCGATATATAACCATGGTACACAGCAGGAGCATCAACATCTACAAACTGTGCATCATACCATACTTGCATCAGTTGCATGTGATAAAGGAGGGATAGGGGATACAGTGCATGATATGCAAGGAGATACAGTGCATGATATGCAAGTGCACTTTCCCTTCTGTATAAAATAACAGAAATTGCAAGCTTCTTGCAAAATTGACAACAACCCACGTTACAGAGCATGTTTCTTTGCTTAGAACTTGAATGGTTCCGTTGTTATGATGACCCTCGCTATAAAACGCTTCAGATTCAATGCATCAAACTTGTACATGTGTATGTCACCATTTTTTCAAGACATTTCATTGAAAAGCTTTTCTGTAGTATGAAGAAATAGTGTCCGGTAATAATAGGTTATGAATTTGGTTCAAATGAACATATTGGAAGCATGTGATCCTACAATATTAAGTAATCGTTGTCGCGGTTGAAATCGAGTCTAAAGTTATGAAATTGTAAATGATAAACTCTTTATGTTGTATAGCTCCCTCTCAAGGTCAAGATATTATTAAGTTATAAAACAATGTTTCTTGACTAAAATCGACCGATTAGCTATTCCCGTTTGGAATTTATATTACAACTACATATTCTAAGATTTTCATGGTCGCAGCTACTATGGTACGGCCGTAGGCAGTATTTGAAATTTATGAAAATTTACAGGGAGCACCAGTGAATTTTTATATTCAATTTTTCACGAAAGCAGAAGTGTTTTAGGTACTGAATTTTCTAGTGCTTTTTATATATCCACAGGGGCATCCAAATATATGGAAATTGTAAAGAATCACTAGGGTCTATCCACCCATTTTCAAAATTTCCCAAAACTTTGTATTACATACATACATTGTACGAGTGCAGTAATAATATAACTAGTCTAAAGTAGGAGTCTAAAGCCAGTTTAAATACTTACATCTCTTAGTGGAATTTTAGCTTTGTAGACTAAGTTGCTGCCATCTCTGTTGAACACTGAATGTGGTATGTCTTTGAGGGTGAAAACAATGTCTGCAGGAGTTCTCTTAGGACCTTGATCTCCTTCTTTGGGAAATGTGATTTTTGTGCCTTCCTTCCATCCTGGCTTCACATTGATTTCAAGAATCTTGTCCTCAGTCCTTGTTGTTCGGCCGTCTTCATTCATTACTCGACGATTGATTTTCATTTTCTTCGTGCACCCACGGAAAACGTCCTCGAGCGTGACCCTAAGGTCATGGTGTACTGGTGGATCTTGGCGTTTCCTTTGACTGTTGCTTCGTGTTTGGTGGGATCCAGGGCCTGGGAACCCACCACCGAACCCAAAATCATCATCGATGTCCATTGCTTCAGGTTGGCCACCTGCGAAATTAAACCGAGTGTTTTGTTGGCCACCCATGCCACCAACATTGAAAAACATGTCAAATGGGTTGCTGTTACCAAAGAAGCTTGTGAAAGTTGCGTTGGGATCGCCATGGAATGTCCATGATGAGAAGTTCTCTCCTCCTTGTTCTCCATGTGGGGCACCTCCACCTCCCTTCAGGCCTTCCTCTCCATATTTGTCATAAATGTTCTTCTTTTTCTTGTCGCTCAAAACTTCATAAGCTTCTGCTATTTCTTTGAATTTTTCTTCCGCTCCCTTTGACTTATTCTTGTCTGGATGATACTTCAGTGCCATCTTCCGATACGCCTTCTTGATTTCATCGTCGGTGGCACCCTTGGCTACCCCGAGCACCTTGTAGTAATCTTTCCCCATTTTTGTCATAGATGACAGCTATCTTTGACTTTTTCACATCCACGGACAAACCACGGTTTTTTCACAAACACGGACAAAATATTGTTCTTCTTTATGAAGGAAGCAAGAGTTATTTTCCTTCTTCAATCAATAGATTCGTAGCAGATCTTTTCACTCTGTCCGATGAAAACAGCTGGACGACTACTCCCGAAGTCGAAAAGGCAATTTGTCGACTAGTTAACGTGTCGTTCGCGTTAGGTACGGGTTGGTAGTAAATTGTGTTTCGATTTCTAACACGGCACTGCACTGGCAACAGCAAAACCTAGTTAGAATTAGAAGTTAGAACGTTGATGCAATCATGAAAAACAATGTTCACTTCACACTATCAACCTCGCGAAGGAGACTGCTTGATCGTTTCACTCAATTCAAGTGCTGAATCAAATTTAAGACGAAATCTTCCTATCTCTGCTTTTAAACCGTACCGGTTTGCGTTTGTTATTTTGATCCGGTCCAAGAGTAGAGGGCTGGAGATATAGGCGCTTCGATAACACACGTACGTCCGAACGTTCGCGCAAATACACGAACATTCTCGAAGCATCGCGTGTAAACAGGAAAACCGCGGGAGCGCGCGCGGAAGGAACCCTGCTAAATGGAGTATAAAAACACGGGATTCTATTCTACTGGTACACAGGTCAACGAAATAATGTTGGTAGGCCTACTTGGTAGTGTTTTGAAGTAAAGACGGCTGTTTTTACCCTTTACTTGTGCTGGCTGTTTTAGAAGGGGAAACACCCACCGAACGCATTATGCCCATGGAAACCTGGTCGAAACGCTGAGTAGTGGGAACACTCCCAGCTACCGCTCTTCACCAGTATTGCTCCCAGCTGATGTGTAAACTATACACAATAATGTGAAATGAAATGAGAGAATAATGATCTCGTAGCTTTGATCGAAGTTTCCCATTACGTTATTCCCTTTTTTTTAGATTTTTTTTTAGCAAGGGTTAAAATATATAAGCAGTGCCCGCGGGACGGTCGAGCTCAGAGCCCCCTCCCACAGTACAAGAAAAAGAAAACGGAATAGGGAGAAAGAAAAAGAGAAAGACGCTATATTTGAAAGTTTGAAAGGTTAAATTCAATAAATTGTACGAAAAACTTATATCGGAACACATATCAAAGGAAATTGGTATATGCCGCATAGCAAATCAAAGACATGGTTGATGCATGGTTGATGCATCTGAGTTTTACTATAGGATGTCGGAACTATGATGTTTTTTTTTATATGAATGCTTTTGATACGCCTTCTCCTTTGGTTTCCTTCAGGACAGCAGGAAGTCTTTTTTTTTTAAATCTATTAATCTTCATCATATTTTCTTAAAACCCCACTGTCCTATTTGTAGCTACTTGCTCCCTCTATATAGAAAACTTCCCCAATCGGTGCATGTTGGTCCCCCATCCTCTTTTTCTTATGTTAGTTGAGAGCTGAGTTAATGAGATAGCCACCTGCCAGTGACCTCGCTGAGTGGTCTAATCCCTTCGGGCCCAGTAGTATTGACGGTCTTTAAATATCGACGTTGACACTTTAGTTGCATCTTAGATTTCCATTCAATTTCGGAAGCTTAGTTGCTCCAGTGTCTTCCACCACAGTGTTAAATCGAAATTATTATGGCCAATATGATATTATACTGCCCCACAAAAAAAATCTGACACAAACTTCAAGCATATTATGAGAGGAGCTGAGATGATACGGTTCTCCTTTGCATTAGATTATAATCAGAAATGTATATATTTCACCTATAAAATATAGGCCTACTCATAAAAATAAGGGTCATATTTTCTAATCTTAAGCAAGTGTTTCGTTTCAATGTTTCAAAATATTGCTTTAGACCATGATTTACTTCATTACACAAAAATTAAGTGACTTGCCTGTGTCACAAATTTTAATGGGGTATAAAAATATGCCCATCTGACTGTTTTTAAGCCTGCCGCTTCAAGAGGACTCCGCCCTCTGGACCCCACGCCTAATATTAACGCTCCGCTCAATTATGATCGAGCCGACTACACGTCAATGTATTACATCTTTTCATGACTTTTGAATGAATTCTGCATTCAGTGAATGAATAAACCGATATAAAACAACGACGTTTTTCAGGATAAGTCCATTTTTAAATAACTGTCATTTAGAACCAGTTTCCCCTCACCATGACTGAATATTTCAGGTTTGGCTCAACATAGCAGACGACGACGACGACACTCGTGCAAAATCCTATATTCGTCTTTATTCTATTACCTTCGCTAATAACGCTTTTGCGACAAACAAACTCAAATTTTGTTAACAGTACAGAAGAGTCGAGAACAATCTGGGATTTCCCCGTCAGTGTGAAAAGGCCCAGCTAGCCCTATTTAGAAGCCACGCCTTGTACCATGGACCCACACTGAAGAGCATGGACCAACACATTGGAAGCTTCTCCAATCTTTGGCGAAGCTGGCGTCTGTGCTGGCCTATTTAATTTTGATCTCCACCACACCAACACAAAGCGACACCCCCTCCCCCCCCCCCCCCCCCCCCCCCCTCCCTCCCTCCCTACTTACTTGCTGCCAGTCGAAGACGTCTTATAGGCTAATACGAGTTCGTTGATAACGCCATCTTCGGCGGCTTGAATCAACATCACAGAAACATTACATCTTCTTCTAGAATTTCTAAAAATGGCGACAGAAAAAGCACCAGCGATTGGAATTGACTTGGGCACCGCCAATTCTTGTGTGGGAGTCTTTCAAAATGGAGAGGTGGAGATCATTGCTAACGATCAAGGAAACCGGACCACACCCAATTATGTTGGATTCACAGATACAAAGATATTGATTGGTGAATCAGCCAAGAACCAGGTGGCAATGTAAGTGTCTTACTTTTTCCTTTTTTCCCTTTCATTTCTTTTCAATTTATGTTCATCGATCCAGGATTCTTCCATGGTCACTGCTATTTGTGAAGGTAGGAGATGAGACAACCGACAACACCTATATAGACCGGCTCATATACAGAAGGCTTGGATTATTTGACCATTATTATCAAGTAATATATATCAATAATATTATTAAGAAAACTCGTAAGATTCGTAAGATTCATAAGAGTAATAATACAATTCTATTAGGTTGAAAGGCATGATCTTATTTTTGTCAACAAAAGTGTCGATACTCGTAGTGGTAGACAAACCAAGCGCTTCTGGACTCTTTCTAAGGCCAGGAATAATCTTTGCTGTTCGTCTTTGTACACTTTCCAACATCATTCTGTTCTCCTGGGGACCACGCGGCCCCATGTTTTTGTATTTTTCAGTTCAATGTTATACTTTGGTTATCCGTGAAATGTTTGTCAGTCAGACCGTAGTCAAAGCTATACAACAGTTATATGCAATAAAAGCAACCGTTTTCTGACTATTTGAATTGCGATATTTCGTAACAGGTGAATTCAATAGTTGGGACTTGGGTTGGAAGTGTTCCGTATGGAATAATTGTTGACCCCCGTTTTGTTTGTTACGTTACGTCACTTACGTGTTGATTCTTTTGCGTTCATTGTATTGGAGGATTAACCCAACCCCTGCAGTAAAGAGTGTTGGATCATAAAAGGACTGGGTTGCATATTCCATTCACAGAAAAGGGTCAAAATTAACGCGTTAATGTAACCACAGAGGGATTCACTCGTAAATAACATACTGATATAATTAATACACACATGGAAAAAACAGAAACATTTGAATCAACGAGAAGTTGGTTTCTCAAAATTTGAACCCAATTCATGTTAAAAAATTTCAAGAATTTACCATTGAGAACATTATAGCCCATAGCCAGTGCAATAAACAGATAAATCAAAGCGTACCATCCTTTGACAAAAATGATACGGCCCAACAATCACGTAGCGTCATGGATCGAAGTGGTCACTGGCCCTCGCAGTTTTTTAGGTTTTAAATTAACATTTAATACTTCAAGATCAAATTTCCCAGTAAAAAGTTCACAATATGGTCATTGGTCTTATGGTTAGTCTTTCAAAGACTTTTGGATGCATGGAACTCCGGCCAAAGAACAGAATATCGATCGATGATCGATAAGGAGATAAGGAAACTAAACTAGTACTTTATGCGGATGATATGACAATTTTTGTTCGCAATAAAAAAAATCAATTAATAGGTTAAAAGTATTATTTGCAGATTTCGAAAAAATTTCTGGACTGAAAATAAACAACGACAAGACTAAAATATTAAGGTTAGGTTCATGTCAACGTTTAGATTGTGATTTTGCTTTTGGCGAAATAGTTGACTTTCTTAAGGTTTTAGGGATTTTCTTTTCCCTCGATGAACACAAGAAAGAAGATCTAAATTATAAAGAAATCTTAAGTAAAATAAAAACACTTTTAAATTTTTGGAAGCAAAGGGATTTAACACTTATGGGTAAGATTCAACTATTGAAAGTGCACATTTATTCTAAAGTTCTTTATCGGGCGTCACTTACTCCTGTTCCAAAATGGGTTTATGATTCACTGGATGAATTAACTTTTGATTTCATATGGAAAGGAAAAACAGATAAAATCAATAGAAACACCATGTTCTTAGACTATAACCAAGGGGGTTAAAGATGTTAAATTTTTCTGCACAAGTTAAATCGCAGCGAATTATGTGGATTCAAAAACTTCTAAACAAAGATGAAGACATGAAATGGAAACAATATTTTAACTTTGTCACTGAACACGTGGGTGGAGATTTGATATTTTCATGTGACTATATACCAAGTTTATTAAAAGTGACAGCTCCACAATTTTATATGGATTTATTAGAAGATTGGGTGAATACGAGACATATAAGGAGTATAAACATTGGTGATGTGGTAATTTTTAATAATAAACTTATTCGATATAAAGGAAGTTGTATATACGATAAGAGGTTGTATGACAGAGGAATTTACAAATTAAAACATATTCTGGAAAACGATGGTAAACTAAAAAGTGACAGGCATTTTATCGATTTAGGTGTTGAAGTAAATGAAATTGAAAAGATCAAGCACTTTTATGCCTGTTTACCAGTTTGTTGGAAAAATAATTTTAGAAAGGGAGAAGAAAAAAATAATTCTGGAACTGATTTCACTTTAGGGAAGAAAACAACTAATATAGCTGATTTAAAATCAAAACAAATTTATGTACAATTAATAAAGAAAGATGATTTTAAACCTTTGGTTTTTGAGAGAATTGGAAGGAACTATGGTTTTTCCTGTAAGGAAATAGAAAACATATTTTTAAGACTAAGACAGTGTACACTTAACAGTCGATTAAGAGAGTTTCAGTTCAAACTTATACATAATATATTATATACAAACCATCACCTCTTCCGTTTTGGTCTTGTCTCGACTAACTTATGCTCATTTTGCGAAAAAGATGAAGAAACATATAAACATTTATTCTATACTTGTGAATTTGCACAATCAGTGTGGGGAATGTGCACGAGATTTTTAGACTTTGAAATACATAACTGTAGTTTGGAGGA